CTTTTCTTTTGTTCCCCCCGGAAAAAGGGCCAGTCCCTCGGGCAGGGAAAAACAGAGACATCGGGCAACCCGGCAACCTGGGAATGGAAGGCTTAAATCGGGGTTGTTCACTTGATCTACGAGGTTTTGGCCATTTTTCCTCGAAAACCCCCTGTGGCCTTTTCCCGGAGATGGAGTCGTCCAAGGATGGGGCAACATTCTCTAAAGACAACCCTTGGGAATTTGCCCGAGTTATGGCCAACCCCGGAGAAGCATTAACCCCATTATAGGTTCGGACACGAAAAAAACAGTAGAAATGTTATTCCCCAGAAATAAATGGGCATTTTTTCATGGGGAACCCTTTTGGGGAACCCCCTACGTAAAAGTCCCCCAGTGAAAAATTTGCACTGTACATAAATTTTATGAAAAGGGAAAACAGAATATATACTCCTCCATATGTTCCCAAAAAAAACAGGGGAATTAAAAGGGAAGTATTCTCTGAAAGGGGTAATTTTTCCCTCTTTACAAGTGAGAAATTGCTCCAGTACCCTTAAAAGGGGTTTTTTATTTTAAATTGGGTTTCTGAGTTTTCCTGAAGGGAAAAAAAGGGACTTTCGCAATAATAAGGGGCCATACCTTTTTCTATTTCAGGGGACTTGTTACTAGGGTATTAGAGTTTTCCCCAATTTGGGTTGAGGTTTTTGGGGGCATTTGGGAATGATGGGGCCCTACTTTTTTTCACCTGAAGCAGACGACGGGTTTGCCCTTTACCCCCTTTGTTGACGTTGCGGTGGTGTCGTTTGGGGGTTTTGCCTTCTGGATATTTTTTGTCGAGAGGGTCCATAAGTATTTTTGCCTCTCCGCGGGGGGGACCATATTTTGAAAAGCGGGGCCCTCACCGGGGGACTTGGTTGGATAAACTTTAGACGTTCTCCCCCCGGGCGGGCCCATTTTATTCCCCCAATGTTGTCGATCTCTGCTCACGCCAGACTGTTAAAAAGGGGAACGGGACCGCCGGAAAAGGGAGCGGTTCGTTTCAAAGGGGTTATAAACCCAACCTGGCCCCCTTTCCAATGCAGTGGTTAAGCAGGGACCCTGCGAAAGTTACAAACCCTCTGGCCCCCACGGGACCCCGGGCGGTTATCAATCGAATAAGCTGCACCAGCCCCCAAAAATTTGAGACACCACTTGCTTTATACCAGCTGGTAAAAGCTTTGGTTTGCTGTCTCACAAGTCCCCCCAGGGATTGGAACCCAAACTGCCGCCTGTTCCCAAATTTTAAGGCTTACGATATTTAGCTGGGATACATGTTTTATGCTCCCCAAAACTGTGGGTTTTACTATTGATAATCAGAGAATTAGCGTCAGTTTAAAACCCCCCGTAAAATTCCCCCGGCCCCCTTTCCCAAAAAAGCGTAAGCCCCCCCCCTGCCCAGTGCTGTTCCGGCCACCTCAAAAGGGTCGAGCCTGATTTTCAAAACTTTCGAAAAATTGCTCTGGTTCGGCCTCATTGAAGGGGGGGAAAAAAGCTGTACTGCTTTTTGTTTAAAATGAAAAGTTTTTCAAAAAGGGGAAAAACTGCCCCCTTTCTCTTTCCCTATCAAAAATTTTCCCTTGCGAAAGGGTCCTGTTCCCTAGTTTGCCTCCAGCGTGATTTTTGGGCCCGCTCAAGGGGCCAACGACGCTGATTCCCTGAGACAACCAAACTGCAAACCCTACTGACCCTTTTGCCGTAGGTTGGGATCACTTCCTCTGCGAGAAAAATAAGAGTTTTTTCCCCAGCTTTCCCCTAGGGGAGGGTTTGATGTTTCCCCTCTCTTCTTCAAAAAGTATGTCAAACAATAAGTGAACGCAGTTGGCAGCTGTGAGAGTGCGTTTTTTAGGGAAAAGCCAAAGGGAAAGGCAATTTCCCAACCCAAAGCTTTTTTAGGGACAATTTAGGTAGGGTTTTTGCAAAGTATATGCCCACACCCGGCGGCTGACTCGTCTAGGTGGATAAGTTATTCGCTAAGCACAGTACGAATACCCCCAACGTAAAAAAAGTTAATTTGAAGAACACGCTTAAAACTATGCCCCAGTACGATTGCAGAATACGCATACAAAACAAAGGGCCGGGTGCACACAAAATTGACCCTAGCGAAGCGAGGGCCCCCTGGGAAAAAAGCTAGTAGCGAGCTGTTGAACGATCACCCAATAGCAAAGGTGACCCTAAGCAAACTGACACGCAAAAATTTTTAAAGCGAAAACGAAACAGCAGCTACACAATGTTCCTTTACAAGTTCACCCCAAACTCAAAACCCTTTCTCCCAAGTCCCCCCGGGTCCCGGGGCAGGGCCCCCTATTTTCAACCCAGGATTTCAAAAGGCCTGTTATCCCAGGTTAATGGGAGCAAATAAAAACAGTTTGAAAAAAATTTAGACTTATATTATCCTTCAAACCCAAATTTTGAACAGCAATATGTTAAATATGTACGTGATAAATATAGTGCACTCCCCGGAAGCAAGGAGAAATAGAAACCACCCAAAATAGCAGACCCGGGTTCAACCAGCTCTAGAATGGGAATGACAAGGGAGGGCAGGAGAGCGGTATCCACATAACCTCTGCGATTGCCAATTTCCCCCCTTTTATTGGCTAGAAAATGGTCACTAGTTGAACGATGGGGGCCCCTCATCAAAAACCCTTTGCAACCCGGTTCGCTGGGGTTTGGGGGGGATAAACCTGTAAATGGGGGTGCCATGCGCCAAAAAAAGGTTTTCGTTTCCCCTTTGCCCTGCCACAAAAGCACTATATACAAAACTCAAGAGGGTCACCAAATAGAACGTAAGGAACATGTAAAAGACCTAGGAATAATTATGTCAGCGGACCTTTCTTTTAAAGACCATAACAAGACAAAGATCACGACAGCCAGGAAGATGACTGGGTGGGCATTGAGAACTTTCAAAACGAGGGAAATAATGCCGATGGTGACACTCTTCAAATCGCTAGTGCTCCCTCACTTAGAATATTGCTCAGTGCTGATGACTCCGTTCAGGGCAGGAGAAATATCGGAGGTGGAACAAATACAGAGATCGTTTACGGCTCACATTGAGCCAGTAAAGCACCTAAACTACTGGGAATGCCTGCAAGTCTTAAGCATGTACTCATTGGAGCAGAGGAGCGAGAGGTACATGATAATATATACCTGGAAGGTACTCGAGGGCTTGGTCCCAAATCTACACACTGCCATAACAACATACTGGAGTGAGAGATATGGGAGGAAGTGTAAAATAAACCCAGTGAGGAGCAGGGGTGCGGTGGGGACAATAAGGGAACACTGTATTAACATCTGGGGTCCCAGACTTTTCAACATCTTACCAGAAGATATCAGAAACACTGCTGGAACAAGTGTTGAAGCCTTCAAGAGGAAACTAGACAAGTATCTTCACCAGGTGCCAGATCAACCAGGCTGTGATGGATATGTGGGGCAGCGGGCCTCCAGCAGCAACAGCCTGGCTGACCAGGCAAGCACCAGATGAGCCTGGCCCATGGCCGAGCTCAGAGAGTAGATATACTCTCAAAATTCTTCAAAGGTATAAAGGTATAACACATCGGCTCTCTCCCACCAAGGCAGGGTGGCTTGAAAAAGAAGCCACTCCATCACTGTCTTGCCAAAGGTGTGCTTACACTACAGTTATAAAACTGCAACATTAACATCCCTCCTTCAGAGTGCAGGCACTGTACTTTCCATCTAAAGGACTCAAGTCCGGCCTGCAGGTTTCCCTGAATCCCTTCATAAATGTTACTTTGCTCATACTCCAACAGCACGTTAAGTCCTAAAAACCATTTCCCTCCATTTGCTCCTATCTAACATGCTCACGCATGCTTGCTGGAAATCCAAGCCCCTCTCACACAAAACCTTCTTTACCCTCTCCCTCCAACCTTTCCTAGGCTGACCCCTACCCTGCCTTCCCTCCTCTACAGATTTATACACTCTCAAAGTCATTCTATTTCATTCCATCCTTTCTGCATGTCTGAACCACATCAACAACCCCTCCTCAGCCCTCTGAAGTAGGGCTGAGGAGGGGTTTTGGTAATCCCGTACGTCCTCCTAATTTCCAAATTATGGATTCTCTGCATTATATTCACACCACACATTGCCCTCTGACATGACATCTCCACCTATTTTGGGTGCTGCTACTTTCTTCAGCAATCTCCTATTGTATTTTTTATCTTGGTCTACCACCTCAAATACAGTATTACAATTTCTTCACATAGCAAATCTACACAACACAGTGAGTAGATATACTCTGAAGAAAATTCAAGTAGAGTATCTTATTAGTGTGTAAAAAATTCAGTGGAAAAACATACACAGAGGTTTACTCTCTCATTAAGATAAAGGCTTTGAAGATGGGTGAGAGAAAATAAAATTCACTGTGTTATAAAACTAAGGTACCATAAAATCAAGACAGGTAACAGCTGCAAGAAAAGTAGACAAACACAATAAGCACTCAGAGGAATAAATATTTACAATCTGTCAAAGAACCAGGTAGTGATGAAAAAGTAGACAGAAATGCAGTATGTGTCTACTTTTCCATCGTGTTGCTTTTTTATGCCATTTGTCTCCAGCTGAGTAGTGAAGCAACTCATTAGATTTGTAGCTCAACAAATCACCTGCTAACTCAGAGTATAATGCAAAGAGAGGGTAATAGGTGCTGCTGGGGTCTGCATTCCTCTGAAACAAGCATTTCAGTACTCGCCCACACCACAGTTACATATTAACTAAAGTACGTACATACAAGTGAACTTTTCCCACACATTCATAAAGTTGTAGCTCTGTAAGGAAGCTAGTCTAGGATGCAGGTAAACATTAGAGATATTATTGGATTACCCATTCAGTGAATAATAAGTTTGATCGCAGCCTGATTTTTAAATGATGTGAAGAAAATATATTTTTTATCGTAAAGTGACACTTTGTGCCCTTTAAATCATTTATTGTTACTAGTTTCAGAATTCCACATGATAATTCAATATGCATTTTGGCAGGTGTACTGTATAAAGTAAGCAACATGTCAACACAGCCTTGTGATCTTGAAGATTTACAGATTAAGGAATGCCCAGCAGATGTGGTACAGTATACATTTTTTTTTTTAATGAATATATTAATTGTATTATGATTTATACATAAAATTTGCATATTCATATGTCACATGGGAAATGTTGAAGGCTGCAGATATTTTAGCAGAAAATGTATGTATGTAATCTAGGTAGTAGGTTGTTAGACAGCAACTGCCCAAGGAGGTACAGGTCGGCCATCAATAATCCGGCATCATTGTGACCTGTAGTGTGCCAGATTAGTGAGTTTGCCAGATTACAGAGTGGTTAGGTTAGAATACACTTAATTAACTTATCAGTAGAGACTTTCTGCTACATCTTCCTCATTTTCATCACTGCTTTCTCCTCCACTGGGTTGCTGCTGTGGATTTACAACCATCTGCACAATTTCTGAGTCGGTATAATGATGAAATTGGAAATTATGCTTGCTGAAATTAGTGCCAGATTACTGATAGAAACGAATAACTGATTGCTGGATTAGTGATGGCCAACCTGTACTATCATCCTCCCAAGTGAGTGTAAAACGGAAGCCTGTAATTGTTTTACATGATGGTAGGATTGCTGGTATCTTTTTTCTGTCTCATAAACATGCAAGATTTCAGGTATATCTTGCTACTTCTAATTACACATAAGTCACACTACACATGCATGTAGTATAAGCATATACAATATATACACACCCTGACTCACGAAATCATAATAACACGATTGCAAACAAACCATACCATGGGCGGGATTGAACTCGCGGTCAGAGACTCTGAAAACTCCAAACCGTCGCGACGGTCTGGAGTTTTGAGACTCTCTGACCTCGGGTTCAATCCCGCCCATGGTATGGTTTATACACACCCCTCTGGATTTTCTTCTGTTTTCTTACTAGTTCTTGTTTATTTCCTCTTGTCTCCATGGGGAAGTGGAACAGAATTCTTACTCCGCAAGCCATGTATATCATAAGAGGTGACTAACATGCCAGGAGCAAGGGGCTAGTAACCCCTTTTCCTGTATACATTACTAACGTTAAAAAGAGAAACTTTTGTTTTTCTTTTTGGGTCACCCTGCTTCAGTGGGATATGGCCAGTCTGTTGAAAGAAGTAGTATGTATGTAAATGATTTTAAAAATAGTTAAAACAAAATCGGCTACCGGATTTATCGGATACCGATAGCATCGCGAACCGGGGGTCCACTGTATATATATATGTTTAACTGTGTATGTAATTATCATTTGGTTATATATACTCCTCACTTAACGACCAAGTTCCATTCCTAAGAGCAGGCCAGTAAGCAAATTACTGTAGTCGTTAAGCAAGGAGCATACTGTACTTGTAGTGGGTTTGTGTCAACCATCTTTAGATGTTGTTTTAATGTTACTTTTGCACCATTTATAACATTTTTAGTATACAGTACGTATTACCTTGACTTACGAGTGGCCCCAACTTAGGAGTTTTCCGAGTTACGAGCCATCGCTCGGTTGATTTTTTGCTTCGAGTTGCAAGCTAAAGTTCGAGTTACGAGCAAGCTTCAGATAAGCTGCCACTAGTTGGCGCAGCGAACGCCACAACATCCTTCCAGCATCCCAGCATTTTGTATTTTTTGTGCAGTTATTTTGCCAAATTTCTTTTTTCTAACCATGGGTCCTAGGAAAGTAAGTGCAAAGGACAGTGCTGAGAAGAAGAGGAGGATGATGTCCATTGAATTAAAGCATGAAATCATAGAAAAATCACGTGAGAATAGCTTTTGTTTCAGTGTTTTCCTTATGAAACTAGTGATCTAGTGCAGTTAGCCTCACAAACACTCAGTTTTTCTCTTATAATAAAACCTCAGAAGGGCAAGAATGGGAAGATATGGTCAAAGCTACGTATATTTTTACCTTGGGAGTGGTTGCCACCACTTGTCACATAATGACATACATATTTTATTCATTCTAGAGTATATATCATGTTTCTTTTATTTATATTGTTTATTATGTCATATTAGATAAATTTTGATATATAAATAAGCTAGAGATTTGCATACTGGTTGGAGAGCTGGTCGTAAGTCCGAGCAATTGTTAAACAGATCATTAAGTGAGGAGTACCTGTACTGTACAATGCAGTATTGTATTTTCAAGATAAAGTACATACAATAAAACCTCTCATTAATGGATTTTGGCACTTTCTGACAAAAAATGGCCAGACAGAAGTCTGTAATCTTGGATTTTGTTCATACCAATAGTGTCCAGTTATCTTCTGAAGTATTGGATCAAAGTTGGTAACTCTGACACATGTCCGGTATGAACCAGAGCATCCACATCCAGGACCTGTCGGCTTTTCTTTGTTCCCCGAGCCGTAAGCCATCAACACCAGTTTATTGTTCATGGTCGCTTGTGTATACATTTGTCATTCAGTCTCTTAATTTCCCTAGATTAGTGTTATGTGACTTGACTAGCTTATTAAGTAGAGTGCAATCAGCAGTAACTTCTGAAACTTGTGGTTCTCAGTGTTAAGCCAAAATTTAGCTCTCTAATAAAGAAAGTTGAGTCTGGCATCTCAATGGCACAAGTATGTGAGGAATCTGATGTTAAGAAAATGTCTGATATCCATAGAAACAAGGACAAACTTATAGACTGTGCTCCTAAATTTAGTGTAGATGTTAGTGGAGGAATTTATAATAGTTTATTGTTAATTTAGACAGTTTTATATTTTTCTTTTTTCTTTCAACAAACCGGCCGTATCCCACCGAGGCAGGGTGGCCCAAAAAGAAAAACAAAAGTTTCTCTTTTTAAATTTAGTAATTTATACAGGAGAAGGGGTTACTATTCCCTTGCTCCCGGCATTTTAGTCGCCTCTTACAACACGCATGGCTTACAGAGGAAGAATTCTGTTCCACTTCCCCATGGAGATAAGAGGAAATAAACAAGAACAAGAACTAGAAAAAAATAGCAGAAAACCCAGAGGGATGTGTGTATATATATGCCTGTACATGTATGTGTAGTGTGACCTAAGTGTAAGTAGAAGTAGCAAGACATACCTGAAATCTTGCATGTTTATGAGACAGAGAAAAGGACACCAGCAATCCTACCATCATGTAAAACAATTACAGGCTTTCGTTTCACACTCACTTGGCAGGACGGTAGTAACTCCCTGGGCGGCTGCTGTCTACCAACCTACTACCTACAGTTTTATATTTATATGTATATAAATTTTTATTTTAGAGAGAATCTGGAAGAGCTAACGTATGTGAAGGATGCCCTGGTAGAGAGCTCTGCCTTTCTCAAGGTATGTCAAAAATCTTGAAGCATTTTATTCTCTTTTTTATATAAACAAATATAGTTAGTTTTACTGTACTAACGTTAATGTATTTTATGGTATCATGTGAAAAAGAATTTTTCCTACATCCTGCTGATGGTCATTTCTACATATTTTCACCTCTGATATTCTGCTTTGTATTTCTTTGTGCATCACTGTTATCAAAAGATTGTAATTTTCCAGTGTCCTGACAGTCCAGTAACTCTTGATAGTCCCAGTCATCAGAGTGCATTCTAACTTCATTTCCAGTGCCTTCTTTGATGCCCTGATATACTTATTTTGCTATATCTCTCTCTTGGATGTCTCATCTTTGCATTCATTTGCTGTATCAACTCTTGACCTCCATTCTTATGACTAGTGTCCTTTCCTCAGTTCCACTCCTTTGCTTCCTTCCCCTCCTCCACCAACTCTTTGACCTCTACTGAATAACCTTTATGGGTTTATCAGGATAAAAAGGTCACAAGGTCGTGGCTGAAACAGTTTGCCACTAGCACTTAGAAAAGGAAAGTCGTTATGCAGTTCCTCTCCTAAATGAAAGTTTTTGGTGAATGGGTTATAACACTTTTCTATAAAATAATAATTTTACTTTCTAAAATTTGTTTTTAGTTTTATTATTACTTTGGTTTCTTTCTGCTTCCATACATGGTGCTTTAATTTATGCTCTTTGTTAAAGATTTCATTTTAATTTACTTTCTATTTTTTATTTATGAATGTAACATCTTAAACATTTAAATTGTGATTGCCACAAAATCAGGAAAGTCTTACACTGAAAATTATGAAAATGTATTTTGTATTTATGGGTGAAGAGATATTCATTATCTAAATTTTTCTTACATGCAAGGATCATCTGTTGACAAATACATTTAGTCATATAGTGATACACATTACCTTCCCTTAAGGAAGGCTCCTTGCCATCAGTGAGGGGCTTTTGATCCAGGGATTGGACCTGCCTTCCCATTCCTTGGATCAAGCTTGATTGCATCCCATTCCCCCAGGGCCTCTATGACCACTAAGGGTTTAGTGCTGTCCCATGAACATAATAATTGTAAACAATAACAGCAATAATTTACTTTCCTATTGCACAAAGCTCAGTATATGGCATAGAGCCAAGAGTAGCAAATGGGTTGCTATGTAATTAATTAATAGAAGACACTTAATGGTACTTAGGCACATCATACTGTTATGTTCTCAACTGTAATGTGTGAAACAGTATATAATATTCCTCTCAGTTACGTTAAGAAATTTAATAAATCAATGTTTTTTCTTTTAGTGAGCAAGCCTGACCCAGACCAGGAAATAATTGATACAAGATTAAAAGCAATTAAGCATAAAATTTTGGTGCTGTCTGGAAAAGGAGGAGTAGGTATGTAATGTTTGTTTTAGTATGTCTTATTCTGTATGACCATTTTTATGTTGCACTCATTTTGATGTAACTTTCATGAGTTATCTTACAGTAATGTACAGTATATACAGCTCTCATACAGTTATTGATGGGGACATTAAGCCCATAATTGGCTGATTGAGGTGTCCCATTATCAAGGGCGGTAATCCACAGTTATGCTTTTGTTAACAGGTAAATCCAGCATAGCAGTAATGATTTCCAAGATTCTAGCAAATGAGGGAAAACGAGTTGGACTTTTAGATGTGGATATCTGTGGCCCAAGCATTCCTTTACTCATGGGTGTGGCAGATCAACCTATAATGGATTCACAGTGGGGATGGAAGCCAGCAATGTATGTCTGTAATTTTTGTTAAACTTGAGTAGAATATTAACATGCATCCACAGAGTATGGCAACCTTACACCTTTCAAGTCCTGTACATCATAGACTTACAAGTTTTATTTAATATATTTGCCATTCAAAAGACCAGTTATCCTCATTGCATGTAAAGCTGTTTTTATCAAATTGCATAACTCTGAGGTAACATTTATAAGTCTTCTTTCTTTCTTTCAATACACCGGCCGTATCCCACCGAGGCATTGTGGCCCAAAAGGAAAAGCGAAAGTTTCTCCTTTTACATTTAGTAATATATACAGGAGAAGGGGTTACTAGCCCCTTGCTCCTGGCATTTTAGTCTCCTCTTACAACACGCATGGCTTACGGAGGAAGAATTCTGTTCCACTTCCCCATGGAGGTAAGAGGAAATAAACAAGAACAAGAACTAGAAAGAAAATAGAAGAAAACCCAGAGGGGTGCGTGTATATATGCTTGTACAGTGGAACCTCAAAAATCGAACTTAATCCATTCCAGGAGCTAGTTCTAAATTCGAAAAGTCTGAAATTTGAAGCCATATTTCCCATAAGAAATAATGGAAATACAATTAATCCGTTCCAGAAACCCAAAAATATTCACACAAAAAATACATTTTAAAGAGATTAATTACAGTTTTACATACAACAAATACTATAGTTTTTAATTATGTATAGTAATACATACATAGGACAAGGAGGAATAACATCTTGTAGGAGTGAGGAAGAGCCAGTTGTGAGTGTGGGGGAAGTTCGTGAGGCAGTAGGTAAAATGAAAGGGGGTAAGGCAGCCGGGATTGATGGGATAAAGATAGAAATGTTAAAAGCAGGTGGGGATATAGTTTTGGAGTGGTTGGTGCAATTATTTAATAAATGTATGGAAGAGGGTAAGGTACCTAGGGATTGGCAGAGAGCATGCATAGTTCCTTTGTATAAAGGCAAAGGGGATAAAAGAGAGTGCAAAAATTATAGGGGGATAAGTCTGCTGAGTATACCTGGTAAAGTGTATGGTAGAGTTATTATTGAAAGAATTAAGAGTAAGACGGAGAATAGGATAGCAGATGAACAAGGAGGCTTTAGGAAAGGTAGGGGGTGTGTGGACCAGGTGTTTACATTGAAACATGTAAGTGAACAGTATTTAGATAAGACTAAAGAGGTCTTTGTGGCATTTATGGATTTGGAAAAGGCGTATGACAGGGTGGATAGGGGGGCAATGTGGCAGATGTTGCAAGTGTATGGTGTAGGAGGTAGGTTACTGAAAGCAGTGAAGAGTTTTTACGAGGATAGTGAGGCTCAAGTTAGAGTATGTAGGAAAGAGGGAAATTATTTCCCAGTAAAAGTAGGCCTTAGACAAGGATGTGTGATGTCACCGTGGTTGTTTAATTTATTTATAGATGGGGTTGTAAGAGAAGTAAATGCGAGGGTCTTGGCAAGAGGCGTGGAGTTAAAAGATAAAGAATCACACTCAAAGTGGGAGTTGTCACAGCTGCTCTTTGCTGATGACACTGTGCTCTTGGGAGATTCTGAAGAGAAGTTGCAGAGATTGGTTGATGAATTTGGTAGGGTGTGCAAAAGAAGAAAATTAAAGGTGAATACAGGAAAGAGTAAGGTTATGAGGATAACAAAAAGATTAGGTGATGAAAGATTGAATATCAGATTGGAGGGAGAGAGTATGGAGGAGGTGAATGTATTCAGATATTTGGGAGTGGACGTGTCAGCGGATGGGTCTATGAAAGATGAGGTGAATCATAGAATTGATGAGGGGAAAAGAGTGAGTGGTGCACTTAGGAGTCTGTGGAGACAAAGAACTTTGTCCTTGGAGGCAAAGAGGGGAATGTATGAGAGTATAGTTTTACCAACGCTCTTATATGGGTGTGAAGCATGGGTGATGAATGTTGCAGCGAGAAGGCTGGAGGCAGTGGAGATGTCATGTCTGAGGGCAATGTGTGGTGTGAATATAATGCAGAGAATTCGTAGTTTGGAAGTTAGGAGGAGGTGCGGGATTACCAAAACTGTTGTCCAGAGGGCTGAGGAAGGGTTATTGAGGTGGTTCGGACATGTAGAGAGAATGGAGCGAAACAGAATGACTTCAAGAGTGTATCAGTCTGTAGTGGAAGGAAGGCGGGGTAGGGGTCGGCCTAGGAAAGGTTGGAGAGAGTTGGTAAAGGAGGTTTTGTGTGCGAGGGGCTTGGACTTCCAGCAGGCATGCGTAAGCGTGTTTGATAAGAATGAATGGAGACAAATGGTTTTTAATACTTGACGTGCTGTTGGAGTGTGAGCAAAGTAACATTTATGAAGGGGTTCAGGGAAACCGGCAGGCCGGACTTGAGTCCTGGAGATAGGAAGTGCAGTGCCTGCACTCTGAAGGAGGGGTGTTAATGTTGCAGTTTAAAAACTGTAGTGTAAAGCACCCTTCTGGCAAGACAGTGATGGAGTGAATGATGGTGAAAGTTTTTCTTTTTTGGGCTACCCTGCCTTGGTGGGAATCGGCCAGTGTGATAATAAAAAAATAAAATAAATAATACATATAACATAACATTTTTACTTACCTTTATTGAAGATTGGTGTTGGCATCTGGAAGATAGGGAGGAGGAGAGAGGGAGTTGGGGTTAGTGTTTGGAAGGAGAATCCCCCTCCATGAGGACTTCAGGTAAAGCCCTCATCATGTCTTACAACATTGTGTATGCCACTACACTTCTTAAATCTGTCAAACCAGCCTCTGCTGGCCTTAAATTCACTATCAGCACTGGTTCCAGGAGTTTTCTGTACCAGATCGGCATGCAACTTCCTTGCCTTTTCGCAAATAATCGTCTCTGAAACACTATCACCTGCAATCTCTTTATCCTTGATCCACACCAGCAACAACTTCTCAACCTCTTCAACTATTTGTGGTCTTTTTTTGGTTAGCATATTAACACCTTTCGCAACATCAGCTTCCTTGATTTGTTTTCTTTGACAGGATAGAATTGATGGTCAACTTGTTTTTCCCATACATCCTGGCAAGCTCAACAAGTCTCACACCACTCTCATACTTCTGTATTATTTCCTTCTTCACATCTATGGTGTTTCTCACTTTCTTTACCACAGGGGTACCACTAGCAAGTTTCTTTGGGCCCATGGCAGCTTATTTCACAGTCCCACAAGCACTAAACACAACAAAATAATCGTAAAATGCGTGAATGAGAGCACAGGTTAGTGTTCACTCAAGCATAAACAAAGCTAGACTGCTCACGGCGCCTGCGCGGGGACGTGGACAGAGCGGGCCGGCAGACAGGTCCCGTACCCGGCGGTCCGAAAATAGGGGCGCGTTCGATAATAGGGACACAGTTTGTCCGAAAAAATGGTCCTATTTTCAAAACGTTCGATATGTGATACGTTCGATTTTTGAGGTTCCACTGTACATGTATGTGAAGTGTGACCTAAGTGTAAACAGAAGTAGCAAGACATACCTGAAATCTTGCATGTGTATGAGACAGAATAAAAAGACACCAGCAATCCTACCATCATGTAAAACAATTACAGGCTTTCGTTTTACACTCACTTGGCAGGACGGTAGTACCTCCCTGGGTGGTTGCTGTCTACCAACCTACTACCTAGGAACATTTATAAGTATTATATCTAATCCTGAATGGATATGCTATTAAATATTGCTTAAGTACTTAACTGCATTGTGTAACATGTTTTGCCACATTGTTTTTTTTTTTTTCACTTTTGATTTGTCTGTTTTCTTATACTTGCATCATTTTAATTTAAGACATAAAAAATATGAAATTATCCCAATTTAAATCCTTTATGTAGCCTAATCTTTTATGGTTTGTAGAGTCAATATGTATAGTATTGAATTTTTTGAGCATGAGCATATTTTCTTCAGCAGTTATTTTAGTTATTACATTTCTCCAGTACATAGTACATTTTAGTGTGTTTAAAGTAGTAAATGATGTGTGTGCACAGATCATCCGATGGCAACATTAAGACATTGTCAGTAGGATCCTTATTGAGCTCTGGGGCCCAGGCCGTGGCATGGAGAGGACCTCGTAAAACTGCTTTAATAAGACGTATGATAAAGGTTTGTTGTCAGTTTTGTTATAAATATTTCCAAGAGCAAATAGACTTTGATCATTAATGGCTTGTCTATTCCATGGTTATTTGTAGGTGCAAATTTGCCAATATACATACTTAGTTAAAAAAAATAGAAAACAGTGGATTCCATGCACTAATGGGAGAATGCCTCATTTGATTAGCTTCAGACTCTTAATTCCCATATGTCTTTAAGGTTTAAAATTTAACTGTCCTTTGTAAGCTCCAATTTGCAGACTGAAGCCTATATTGGTTCTTACACAATATATTTTATTACATAGTTTCCTCTAGCAGCTTAGAAGACACTAATTTTTAACTAAATCCTACAACATATTTTGAATATTAACTCTAATTAAAACATTATCCATTATTTTTAACAGTGCTATGATTTGGTATGAATTGCAAACATAGGAGAATAAACCAGAGAGTGGGCAAGGATTTAACCCATGGCAGGTGAATCCTAAAACTCCAGGCCAGTGCCTTGGGTTCACTTCCTGCCCACTCTGTAGTTTGTTTGCAATTGTGTTAGTATGATTTTGCAAGTCATATGAGACTGACTTATATTTCACTAAAATTAGTCTATTGGTTTCTGTGATATAAATAGGAGACCAACCCTCTTGAAAATCAGTCTGTATGGTGGGTGATGTCCAGAGAGTTTCACAAGAGCCAAGCTTATTATACTATGAATGACTGTGATAGAGATGGTAATTTAATATGGGGTCCTGGTTTATCTTGTGGGTTGCTTGAGTACCTTTCCATGTGATATGAGAAAGCCTTTTCAGATTGTCTTCAAATTTTCAGTGTTGGTGTATACTAATTAGGAGAAAAGGTTGGATTGTTGTCAGGCTGTACAGTTGCCAATTTACCAATTTTATACTTGCAAATAGGACAGTGGTTTACATTCATTAACATGAGAAAGCCTCTTCTTATTGCCCTCCAACTTTTAGCACAGATGTATCCTAGTTATAAGAAAGCTTGATTTATTATGATGAACCATAATTTTTAAAGGAGCAGACTGGTAAGCCAGCAGAAGGCCTTGGTCAGATGACCAAAAGCTCCAGCTGTGGGTCATCGTATGACTAAGACCCACGTCAGGAAACACTCATCCTGTTTACTGACAAACCTTACCTAACCTAATCTTGGGTTATTATTGGAGTGTGTAATTGTCAGTTTTATCATAAAAATTGTAAGATACTTTTTTCTATGAGGAAAAATTGAGTGCCTTGTCCTGATCAGCTTCAAACTTTCAGTGTTGGAGCATTTTCCTCAAAGGAGGATTTGCAGTGGCAGTTGGCAGTAAAGTCCCAATTTACCAATTTTATTAAATAAATTGAGACATTAGTGTTCTTGTGATAACTAGTACAGACTTCTAATCAGTGTTGATGATTGTGACTTAGAATAAGGATTATTTAACAGTTCTGGGAGCTCTTTTAAAAGTGGTGATCCTGAATGTTCTGAGGATGCTAAGGAACAAGTGTTAGACTTCCTGAGTGCACTGAGCTTAAGCCTTTGGTTCTCTTGGGAGAGTTGAACTATAATTCATTGGTTGGTTTAGCTGTAACTTCTCTGCCTCTTGAGGGTTTGGAGCTTAACCTGCTGTTCCTCTTGTGTGGGTTTACATAGAGGGAGCTGGAGCTCAACAAGTGAAATATATATTCTCTCTTCTTTCAACGTACCACCCGTATCCCACTGAGGTGGGGTGGCCCAAAAGAAAAAGCGAAAGTTTCTCCTTTTAAATTTAGTAATATATACAGGAGAAGGGGTTACTAGCCCCTTGCTCCCGGTATTTTAGTCGCCTCTTACAACACGCATGGCTTACGGAGGAAGAATTCTGTTCTACTTCCCCATGGATAGAAATACATATAATTATATTAGATGGGATTGTAAGAGAAGTAAATGCGAGAGGGTCTTGGCAAGTGGCGTGGAGTTAAAAGATAAAGAATCACACATAAAGTGGGAGTTGTCACAGTTGCTCTTTGCTGATGACACTGTGCTCTTGGGAGATTCTGAAGAGAAGTTGCAGAGATTGGTGGATGAATTTGGTAGGGTGTGCAAAAGAAGAAAATTAAAAGTGAATACAGGAAAGAGTAAGGTTATGAGGATAACAAAAAGATTAGGTGATGAAAGATTGGATATCAGATTGGAGGGAGAGAGTATGGAGGAGGTGAATGTATTCAGATATTTGGGAGTGGACGTGTCAGCGGATGGGTCTATGAAAGATGAGGTGAATCATAGAATTGATGAGGGGAAAAGGGTGAGTGGTGCACTTAGGAGTCTGTGGAGACAAAGAACTTTGTCCTTGGAGGCAAAGAGGGGAATGTATGAGAGTTTAGTTTTACCAACGCTCTTATATGGGTGTGAAGCATGGGTGATGAATGTTGCAGCGAGGAGAAGGCTGGAGGCAGTGGAGATGTCATGTCTGAGGGCAATGTGTGGTGTGAATATAATGCAGAGAATTCATAGTTTGGAAGTTAGGAGGAGGTGCGGGATTACCAAAACTGTTGTCCAGAGGGCTGAGGAAGGGTTGTTGAGGTGGTTCGGACATGTAGAGAGAATGGAGCGAAACAGAGTGACTTCAAGAGTGTATCAGTCTGTAGTGGAAGGAAGGCGGGGTAGGGGTCGGCCTAGGAAAGGTTGGAGGGAGGGGGTAAAGGAGGTTTTGTGTGCGAGGGGCTTGGACTTCCAGCAAGCATGCGTGAGCGTGTTTGATAGGAGTGAATGGAGACGAATGGTTTTTAATATTTGACGTGCTGTTGGAGTGTGAGCAAAGCAACATTTATGAAGGGGTTCAGGGAAACCGGCAAGCCGGACTTGAGTCCTGGAGATGGGAAGTACAGTGTCTGCACTCTGAAGGAGGGGTGTTAATGTTGCAGTTTAAAAACTGTAGTGTAAAGCACCCTTCTGGCAAGACAGTGATGGAGTGAATGATGGTGAAAGTTTTTCTTTTTTGGGCCACCCTGCCTTGGTGGGAATCGGCCAGTGTGATAATAAAAAAAAATAATATATTAAATTATTACAGCATAGCTGAAGGCAATTTACCTATTTTTGTAGTAATTACTGTACTTTACTGTGCTTATTTGTAGCTACAGGAGGTGTGTGTGGGGGGGGGTTGCAACCTGTCTTCATATACTTCAGTTTCTTTCATACCATTCTGTAATTTCTTTTTAAATTTCCAGTGGGTGTAGCACTTACTACTACCTCTTGTAGCTCATTCCATTGTTATGCCACTCTCTTAAGACCCTTTCATTTACAATTTAGAATTAAATATACAAAATTTATCTCAACTGTGTACCTATGCTTGTACTTTCACATTGGTATCCAAACCCCTTCTGTACACATGCCATTAATGAAAAATGAATTTCAACAGGACACACTTTGGGGCCGACTGGATTACTTGATTATAGACACACCACCTGGGACGAGTGACGAGCATCTCACTATCATCAAGCTGCTTGCTGCTGCTGTGCCAGATGGAGCACTAATTGTGACAACACCTCAGAAGCTGTCTGCTGGTATTTTTTTTTTTTTACTGTATCGGTTATTCCCCACCAAGATAAGATGATTCACAGTAGAAAATGTATTCACCATTCTTCATTCAGTAGCTGTTTTGCCAGAAGTTCATGGGCATCACAATTCAAATGACCCTCCGATCTTCAACATCTTCCCTCAACCATCAGAGTGCAGCAGGCACTGTACTTCCCACATCCATAACTTAGTCTGGCAGGTATGTATGTGTATTATAACCTTTCAAATACTTAGCTGCTTCATATTGTGCTACACTAGCTAGTGAAGGTAATGTGAACATTATCATTGCAGTACATGTAGAAAATTATGTCACATTAGTTCATCTTCTACAAATTTATCCCTACAAATTCACAAGCTTCCTTATGTTTAGGTTTTGATTATCCAGTGGTTTTTCTGGCTGCATTCATTTTTTTAAGCTTGGCACACTCCCTGTTAATTGGAAACTAACCGTAAGGTTTCTTTCACATTATTCTCAATAGCTCAATACTAAGATATATTACAAAGATATGGTCTCTGAAATGCATGATGTACTGTACCCAAATCTGCAACAAAATTTATGCTGACATAATATTGTACAGTAGGACCTGTATACACAGAAGATACATTCCAAGGACCTGCCACAGATAGTAGCAAACCCTATATGTCATTTTTTGTTTACATACATACCTATTATAAAGTTTAATTGATAAATTACATACAATAAGTGAAGAATTATCACCTTTTCACTGATGGTAAGCACTTCATGGCTTTTCTTAGGCTTTGAAGAACTTTCACCATCACTACTCTTGCAATTTGAGGCCATTATTAAGCAAAGTTAAGGGTTATTTTTGGGCCACAGTAAACCGTAGATATTATATTTTAAATTTTTAGTTTTATAGAGCCTCGAGCATAACCTCAAAGTTGTAGGGATTACTAATTTATATCTTGTAGATACAAAGTACAGGTACTGTAAATAGGATGAAGGCATAATAATCACTTAAAGTACTGTAGTCTCAAATGTTTTAATGTACACTTATGAGTCATGGTAATTTTTGTATACCATAGCCATCATATGGTACAGTAGAGCATCAGTTATTCAGTGACTGCTTATTTGGCATTTTTTTTTTTTTTGATTGCCCAGCCTTGGTGTGAAAAGGCCAGTGGGCTAAAAACACAAAAGACAAATTGCTCATAAATTTTGGAGTCTAGTTTTAAATCTTCTCTAAATGACAATGTTTCTTTTCCCCAGGTGTAGTGAGCAGAGAGATCAGATTTTGTCAGAAGATGGGCATACCAATTTTAGGGATAATAGAGAACATGTCAGGCTTTTGCTGTCCAGGTTGTTCAGTAAGTACTGCTTAACAAATTTTTTTTTATTTTAATTAATTTTTGCTAGTTCCTTTTGTGTGAAAACCTGCATCTCTTGGATGTAAATTTTTTTTAACACAATAGCTGTCTCCCACCAAGGTAAGAGGATTCATTACCCTCAGGAAAAATACTGTATTAGCAAACTGGGTCCAGTGGTGCTATTACATAAAATGTACATTGTCACTCTACCTTGGTCAAAAATGATTGATGTTTTAAAAAAAGTTTTCCGAAGAATGAAATGGTGAAATCTGCGTAAATCTATAATTTGAAGGAGTTGCAGCACCAGAACCTTTCCTAGAATCTTTGAAATTATTATTAGGAAATATAAGATTTGATTGGTTTGGGCAAGTCATTTAAGTAATAGCACTATGGGTAATTCAGATCTATAGTTGTTCAGTTATTTATGAACTTTAGCTGCAGAAAACAAATAATAATATTCACAGGTTTTTTCAATGAATTACATTTATGTACTCCAGGGTAGTCCTTTATTTTTAATGTAGTTGCAGTCCATGAGGATGTAGAACATTAGCAATACCTGGTGCTTGTACTGTGTAAAATATATAAATTTACTGCTTCATACACCCAAGATAATTTGTAATGGAATAATGAACAGAAAATGGACAGGGACTTGAACAGTGGTTCATGTGTGAAGTAGGCTTAGTCTTGTATATATACATAGTTGGTTGCAGCTAATGCAACCATGTCACAGAAGTTCTGGTTGCAAAATCATCCTGTTGTAACCTCTGACTGAATGGTACATAATAGGGCCTACTACACATGTAGCCATGGTTCAAGTCCCAAGCCATTATTCTGTTTATTCTTCTTCTTTCAACAAACCAGCCGTATCCCACCGAGGCAGGGTGACCCAAAAAGAAAAACTATTATTATAATCAAAAAGAAGCGCTAAACCTACAATGATCATACAGTGCCGATAAAAGAAAAACTAAAGTTTCACTTATTAACTTTAGTACATAGTGTGTACAGGAGAAGGGATTACTAGTTTCGAGAGTTTATCTACTCTCTGAGCCCGGCCATGGGCCAGGCTTGTCTGGTGCTTGCCAGGTCAACCAGGCTGTTGCTGCTGGAGGCCCTCTGTCCCACATATCCATCACAGCCTGGTTGATCTGGCACCTGGTAAAGATACTTGTCCAGTTTCCTCTTGAAGGCTTCTGCACTTGTTCCAGCCATGTTTCTGATGATATCTTTTGGTAAGATGTTGAATAGTCTGGAACCCCGGATGTTAATACATTGTTCCCTTATTGTCCCCACCACATCCCTGCTCCTCATTGGGTTTATTTTACACTTCCTCCCATATCTCTCACTCCGGTATGTTGTTATGGCAGTGTGCAGATTTGGGACCAGGCTCTCGAGTATTTTCCAGGTATATATTATCATGTACCTCTCTCTCCTCTGCTCCAGTGAATATATGTTCAAGACTTGCAGGCATTTCCAGTAGTTTAGGAGCTTTACAGGCTCAATGTGAGCCATAAACGATCTCTATTTGTTCCAGCTCAGATATTTCTCCTGCTTTGAACGGGGATGTCAGCACTGAGCAATATTCTAAGTGAGGGAGCACTAGGGATTTGAAAAGTGTCACCATCGGCATTATTTCCCCTTGTTTTGAAAGTTCTCAATACCCACCCCATCATCTTCCTGGCTGTCATGATCTTTGTCTTGTTATGGTCTTTAAAAGAATGGTCCGCTGACAATTATTCCTAGGTCTTTTACGTGTTCCTTACGTTCTATTTGGTGACCCTCTTGAGTTTTGTATATAGTGTTCCTTTTGAGTTCTTCATTCTTTCTATACCTAAGCAGCTGGAACTTATCACCATTGAACATCATGTTGTTCTCCACTGCCAACGGGAAAACCCTGTTTGTCTTCCTGTACTTTTTCAGTGTTCTCTACCGTAGTGACTTTCATGCTTATTTTAGTGTTATCTGCAAATGATGATACAAAAGTGTGCTGGGTGTTTTTGTCTCTGTTTGCTATGAGGCTGAGAAACAGCAGAGGTGCCAGGACAGTGCCTTGGGGCACTGAGCTTTTGACCTTGCTGATGCTGGATCTTGCCCTGTTCACTACTACTTTTTGTGTTCTGTGTGTTAGGAAACTGAAAATCCATCTGCCTACCTTCCCCGTAATGCCCACGGCCTTCATTTTGTGTGCTATCACTCCATGATCGCATTTGTCAAACGCCTTTACAAAACCTGCGTAAATCACATCTGCGTTATGGTCATCTTCCAATGCCTCCGTAATGCTGTCATAATGATTCAGCAGCCGTGACAGGCATCATCGTCCTGCTCTAAAACCATGCTGGTTTGGGTTATGTTGGTTGTCCTGCTCCATGAAATTTGTAATCTGCCGTCTCATCACTCTTTCGAAGATTTTTATGATGTGCGAGGTTAGGGCTACTGGTCTGTAATTTTTAGCTAGTGCTCTACTACCTCACTAATGCAAAGGAGCTATGTCTGCACTCTTTAAGGCCTCTGGTATTTCACCTAGATCTAAGCTCTTTCTCCAGAGAATACTGAGGGCTCGTGCTAGTGGTACTTTGCATTTCTTTATAAACAGAGCATTCCATGAATCTGGTCCAGATGCTAAGTGAGTGGGCATGTTTTCCATTTCTTTTTCGAAAACTATGGGATTTGTACATACTAGTGTCAGTTAGTTGGTCTGCGCGACCTTTTGGAGTGAAAAAATATTTCTGCATTTTCTACCTTGCTGTCATTTAGTGGGTTGCTGAACACTGACTCATACTGTTCTTTTAGGATTTCTCTCATTGCCTGTTCATTGTCAATATATGAGTCTCCTCTCAGTACTGGTCCAATTCTACAGGTAGTTCTTAGCTTGGATTTTGCATAGGAATAGAAATATTTTGGATTTCTTGCAATATCCTGTATGGCCCTTTGTTCCCTTTGTACTTCTGTGAGGTATGACATCCTAAGTTTTTGCTCTAATTCAATGACCTCTTGGCTAAGTCTATCTTTCCTCTGTTGTAGCATATTTGTGTCTTTAAGCAATTCAGTAACCCATTTTCTTCTTCTGTACCATCTCCTACGCTCTCTCTCTATATCTGATCTTCTGGGTTTTCTCAATGGTATGTGTTTCATACTTACCTTGTATGCTTCTGTATTCAGCTTCTCTAGGCACTGGTGGGGACTTAGGGTGCTCATGTCTGATTCCCAGCCTCTTACAACACACATGGCTTATGGAGGAAGAATTCTTTTCCACTTCCCTATGGAGATCTGTTTATTCATACTACATATTAATATCAAGGATGGATGCAGGCGACTAAATAGAAACTATATCAAGAAACATTTTGCTAAATTAAGTAGAACAAATTTAAATTTAATTTTTACTTTTTGTGCAATTTTATTTCAGACTGTGAGCCATGTGTTTTCATCCGGGGCTGGGGACTACTTAGCCAAGAAGTATGATGTTCGTCTCTTGGGTCATCTGCCTCTTGACCCTCGACTAGCAGCTGTCCAGGAGAAAGGATGTATTATAGAAAGTGCATGTTTTGACACTATTAATGAAATTATAAGGAAAATTATTATAATAATTCAAGATTTGCAGACATTATGAGCGGGTTTACTCAGATTTTGAAGTCCTGATTATTTTGTTCGATTCCTATTTCAAAATCATTAACAAATTACAGTAACTGAAAATTTAGGCAGTCATTATTTGTTTTTGTTGCGAATATTTGTACCCACTTTTAATTTGTTTAAAAATGGCAAGTCTTGAAGAATAAGCAGCCACTAAATCATTAGTATAGTTTAATGACTTCGAGTGTCATCTACAGTACTCAGATTACAGCTTTTGGACTGATTCCTCCATCAACATGGTGAGTAGTATCTGCTACACTGTTTTGAATAAAACATTATTGTTATTGTAATGAAAATGGTGTGCCAAACTTGTACACAAATTTAAAGGGAATATTACACATAAGGTTTAACAATGCTCAGCCACTTCTGTATGATCCATACAGGTTTAGCACTTTTTTCAAATATAATAATAATGCTTGATCCTTTTTTAGCAAAAAACATATTTTCTATAAAATGAAAATTGATAATTTATTTGGGTTACAGTAGAGTATGTGATAATACACAGGCCTTGTGCCTTTTCAACATATTAATGTACAGTGGAACCTCTGCTTATGAATTTAATCCGTTCCGTGACCTTGTTCGTATCCTGATTTGTTCGTATGCTGGGTTAATTTTCCTCATTTAAATTAATTGAAATGCATTCGTTCCAGGGGAATTCCTGCTGTCAGGAGACATGACAAAATAGTACTTCAATATGACACTAATATCATCTCTACGACTTATTTATCTATCACAATTCATCTAATATGACATAATAAACAATATGAATAACATAAAAACCTGATATACACACTAGAATGAATAAAATATGTATGTGGTGGCGGGGAAGGATGGTGGTCCCGGGCATTCTTGCTCCAGCTATGAAAACGTCTTCCCATTCTTTCCTCTATCAGATGTGTTAGTATAAGAAGGCTGAGTGTAACAGGGAGTGTGGAACGAAGGCAGGGAATGGTGTAGCAGGCAGGCAGCGAGTGTAGCAGGCATGCAGGGAGTGTAACAGAAACAGGGAGTGTGGAAGGAAGGCAGGGAGTGTAACAGGGAAACAGGGAGTGTGGAAGGAAGGCAGGGAGTGGTGTAGCAGGCAGGCAGGGAGTGTAGCAGGCAGGCAGGGAGTGTGGAAGGAAGGCAGGGAGTGATGTAACAGACAGGCAGGGAGTGTAGCAGGCATGTAGGGAGTATAACAGGGAAACAGGGAGTGTGGAAGGTAGGCAGGGAGTGTAGCAGGCAGGCAGGGAGTTAGCAGGCATGCAGGGGTGTAGAGGCGGGCAGGGGTGTTCGGCATGGGGGAGTGTAGCGGGAAAACAGGGAGTGTGGAAGGGGGCAGGGGGGGGTGAACGGGAAACGGGGTGTGGAAGGAAAGCGGGAGGGGGTTGAGAGGCAGGCAGGCAGGGAGTGGTGTAGAGGCGGCGGGGAGTTACGGCAGGCGGGGAGTGTGGAAGGAAGGCGGGGAGGGTGTAGCAGGCATGTAGGGAGTAAAACCGGGATACAGGGATTTGGGGGAAAGGGTATGCAGGGGGGGTGAAACATGGAAACAGTGAGTGGGGAAAGGAAAGGGAGGGTGTAAGGGGGAGGGAGTGTAGCAGGCATGCAGGGGTGAAAGGGGGAAAACAGTGAGGGGGAAGGGAAGGCAGGGAGTGTGCAGGGCATGAGGGGTAAACGGGAAACGGGATTTTGGGAAGGGGCAGGGAGTGTAGCGGGGAAACAAGGAGTGGGGAAAGGGAAAGGCAGGGAATGTGCAGGATGCAGGATTGAGAGGAGGCGGGTTGTAGAAAGTGGCAGGGAGTGTAGCGGCAGCAGGGGTGTTAAAGGAAACGGGGAGTGTGGGAGGCAGGGGAGTGTAGAGGCATGCGAGAGTGTGCAGGAGGGAGGGAAGTAACCCCCGGAGGGGTTTGATACTGAAGTCCTTATGGACGGGATACCCCCTTCCAAAAAAATCACTTCTCCTCTCTCTCCCTGTCTTCCCTAAGCCAACAATGTCTACAGTAAAGGTTGTAATGTGATTTTTAAAAGCTCATTTTTTTATTTTATTTTTTCTCATTGTTTTGTGTATGTAAAACTATAATTAATCTTTAAAAAATGTATTTTTTGTTAATATTTTTGGGTGTCTGGAATGGATTAATTGTACAGTGGAACCTTGACTTATGAGTTTAATCTGTTCCAGCAGCTAGCTCGTAACTCAATTTACTCATATATCAAATTAATTTTCCTCATTTAAATTAATTGAAAAGCCATTAATTCATTCCTGCACTCTGGAGAGACGAGAAAAAACATGACTATATTATCAACTGTACGGCTTATTTATCTATCACAATTCATCTTATATGACATAATAAATATAATTAACACAGAAACATAATATATACTCTAGAATGAATAAAATAGGCCCTATATGGTGGCATAGGCAGCAGCAGAAGCGTCTGCTATTTCTTATGTATATACTGAGAGTATCTTCCCATGCTCTTATTGTAAGAGAAAACGGAGTATTTTTGAAGCTAACTGCAGTAGATCACTAGTATTCTAAGGAAAACACTGAAAATATTGTATTATTTTTTTTTATTATCACACCGGCCGATTCCCACCAAGGCAGGGTGGCCCGAAAAAGAAAAACTTTCACCATCATTCACTCCATCACTGTCTTGCCAGAAGGGTGCTTTACACTACAGTTTTTAAACTGCAACATTAACACCCCTCCTTCAGAGTGCAGGCACTGTACTTCCCATCTCCAGGACTCAAGTCCGGCCTGCCGGTTTCCCTGAATCCCTTCATAAATGTTACTTTGCTCACACTCCAACAGCACGTCAAGTATTAAAAACCATTTGTCTCCATTCACTCCTATCAAACACGCTCACGCATGCCTGCTGGAAGTCCAAGCCCCTCGCACACAAAACCTCCTTTACCCCCTCCCTCCAACCCTTCCTAGGCCGACCCCTACCCCGCCTTCCTTCCACTACAGACTGATACACTCTTGAAGTCATTCTGTTTCGCTCCATTCTCTCTACATGTCCGACCACCTCAACAACCCTTCCTCAGCCCTCTGGACAACAGTTTTGGTAATCCCGCACCTCCTCCTAACTTCCAAACTACGAATTCTCTGCATTATATTCACACCACACATTGCCCTCAGACATGACATCTCCACTGCCTCCAGCCTTCTCCTCGCTGCAACATTCATCACCCACGCTTCACACCCATATAAGAGCGTTGGTAAAACTATACTCTCATACATTCCCCTCTTTGCCTCCAAGGACAAAGTTCTTTGTCTCCACAGACTCCTAAGTGCACCACTCACTCTTTTTCCCTCATCAATTCTATGATTCACCTCATCTTTCATAGACCCATCCGCTGACACGTCCACTCCCAAATATCTGAATACGTTCACCTCCTCCATACTCTCTCCCTCCAATCTGATATTCAATCTTTCATCACCTAATCTTTTTGTTATCCTCATAACCTTACTCTTTCCTGTATTCACCTTTAATTTTCTTCTTTTGCACACCCTACCAAATTCATCCACCAATCTCTGCAACTTCTCTTCAGAATCTCCCAAGAGCACAGTGTCATCAGCAAAGAGCAGCTGTGACAACTCCCACTTTGTGTGTGATTCTTTATCTTTTAACTCCACGCCTCTTGCCAAGACCCTCGCATTTACTTCTCTTACAACCCCATCTATAAATATATTAAACAACCACGGTGACATCACACATCCTTGTCTAAGGCCTACTTTTACTGGGAAAAAATTTTCCTCTTTCCTACATACTCTAACTTGAGCCTCACTATCCTCGTAAAAACTCTTCACTGCTTTCAGTAACCTACCTCCTACACCATACACTTGCAACATCTGCCACATTGCCCCCCTATCCACCCTGTCATACGCCTTTTCCAAATCCATAAATGCCACAAAGACCTCTTTAGCCTTATCTAAATACTGTTCACTTATATGTTTCACTGTAAACACCTGGTCCACACACCCCCTACCTTTCCTAAAGCCTCCTTGTTCATCTGCTATCCTATTCTCCGTCTTACTCTTAATTCTTTCAATTATAACTCTACCATACACTTTACCAGGTACACTCAACAGACTTATCCCCCTATAATTTTTGCACTCTCTTTTATCCCCTTTGCCTTTATACAAAGGAACTATGCATGCTCTCTGCCAATCCCTAGGTACCTTACCCTCTTCCATACATTTATTAAATAATTGCACCAACCACTCCAAAACTACATCCCCACCTGCTTTTAACATTTCTATCTTTATCCCATCAATCCCGGCTGCCTTACCCCCTTTCATTTTACCTACTGCCTCACGAACTTCCCCCACACTCACAACTGGCTCTTCCTCACTCCTACAAGATGTTATTCCTCCTTGCCCTATACACGAAATCACAGCTTCCCTATCTTCATCAACATTTAACAATTCCTCAAAATATTCCTTCCATCTTCCCAATACCTCTAACTCTCCATTTAATAACTCTCCTCTCCTATTTTTAACAGACAAATCCATTTGTTCTCTAGGCTTTCTTAACTTGTTAATCTCACTCCAAAACTTTTTCTTATTTTCAACAAAATTTGTTGATAACATCTCACCCACTCTCTCATTTGCTCTCTTTTTACATTGCTTCACCACTCTCTTAACTTCTCTCTTTTTCTCCATATACTCTTCCCTCCTTGCATCACTTCTACTTTGTAAAAACTTCTCATATGCTAACTTTTTCTCCCTTACTACTCTCTTTACATCATCATTCCACCAATCGCTCCTCTTCCCTCCTGCACCCACTTTCCTGTAACCACAAACTTCTGCTGAACACTCTAACACTACATTTTTAAACCTACCCCATACCTCTTCGACCCCATTGCCTATGCTCTCATTAGCCCATCTATCCTCCAATAGCTGTTTATATCTTACCCTAACTGCCTCCTCTTTTAGTTTATAAACCTTTACCTCTCTCTTCCCTGATGCTTCTATTCTCCTTGTATCCCATCTACCTTTTACTCTCAGTGTAGCTACAACTAGAAAGTGATCTGATATATCTGTGGCCCCTCTATAAACATGTACATCCTGAAGTCTACTCAACAGTCTTTTATCTACCAATACATAATCCAACAAACTACTGTCATTTCGCCCTACATCATATCGTGTATACTTATTTATCCTCTTTTTCTTAAAATATGTATTACCTATAACTAAACCCCTTTCTATACAAAGTTCAATCAAAGGGCTCCTATTATCATTTACACCTGGCACCCCAAACTTACCTACCACACCCTCTCTAAAAGTTTCTCCTACTTTAGCATTCAAGTCCCCTACCACAATTACTCTCTCACTTGGTTCAAAGGCTCCTATACATTCACTTAACATCTCCCAAAATCTCTCTCTCTCCTCTGCATTCCTCTCTTCTCCAGGTGCATACACGCTTGTTATGACCCACTTCTCGCATCCAACCTTTACTTTAATCCACATAATTCTTGAATTTACACATTCATATTCTCTTTTCTCCTTCCATAACTGATCATTTAACATTACTGCTACCCCTTCCTTTGCTCTAACTCTCTCAGATACTCCAGATTTAATCCCATTTATTTCCCCCCACTGAAACTCTCCTACCCCCTTCAGCTTTGTTTCGCTTAGGGCCAGGACATCCAACTTCTTTTCATTCATAACATCAGCAATCATCTGTTTCTTGTCATCCGCACTACATCCACGCACATTTAAGCAACCCAGTTTTATAAAGTTTTTCTTCTTCTCTTTTTTAGTAATTGTATACAGGAGAAGGGGTTACTAGCCCATTGCTCCCGGCATTTTAGTCGCCTCATACGACACGCATGGCTTACGGAGGAAAGATTCTTTTCCACTTCCCCATGGACAATAGAAGAAATAAAAAAGAACAAGAGCTATTTAGAAAAAGGAGAAAAACCTAGATGTATGTATATATATATATGCATGTGCGTGTCTATGAAGTGTGACCAAAGTGTAAGTAGGAGTAGCAAGATATCCCTGTTATCTTAGCGTGTTTATGAGACAGAAAAAGAAACCAGCAATCCTACCATCATGCAAAACAGTTACAGGTTTTTGTTTCACAGTCATCTGGCAGGACGGTAGTACTTCCCTGGGTGGTTGCTGTCTATATAAACACATAATAAGTCCTAATACACTACAGAATGTATAGAAATAATAAACTGTTTATATAGTGTATATGTGCTTTATATAAAGTGTATATGTGCTTACACACTGAACATAACTGATACAATTTGTTTTGTTTAATCACTGAACACAACTAATGTGTTATCTCCTGCGAGCTGCTTCTCTCTCAACCACGTCAGCAGCAGGTTTTCCATCTTTTCATGGACAAAGGTCCGCAGTTTAGATGTTATTGTAATGCCCTTGGCTGGCGCTATAGCCTTTATTGACTCCTTCTTTTTTAATATCGTACATATAGTAGATGTACTGCGCTGGTACTGTCTGGTTAAATCCAAAACTCGTACACCTTACTTATGTTTATCTATGATTTCATGCATTAATTCCTTGGAAATCATTGTCTTTTTCTTCTCAGCACTGTCCTTTGCAGTTATTTTCTTAGGACCCATGGTTAGAAAAGCGAAATTTGGCCAAATGACTGTCAAAATTGTAAGCAAAGCAGGAGAGAACTGCTTCAACAGTGATGTAAACATGTGTACTGCCAACTATTGGCAGCATTCTGAATTATTATTAAATACGTATTATGTACATTATTACTATTATTAATTTAGTGAACTGAAGCTCTGTTGTTATTGTAAAATAATAATTATTATTATTATTTATTATTGATTGAGGGAACTGAAGCTCTATCATTATAATTATTATTATTATTAATTTAGGGAGCTGAAGCTCTATCTTTATTATAATTATTTTTATTATTATTATTAACCCTTTCAGGGTCCCCAGGCCCTCTCCCAGACTTGTTCTCAGGGTTGCCCAAATTTAAAAAAAAAAAAATTATTATGAAAAGATAAGAGAATCTTTTCCCGATCATAATGACACCAAAAGTATGAAATTTGATGGAAAACTTATGGAATTATGCTCTTGCGAAGTTAGCGGTCTTGACGATGTTTACGCATCGGCGATTTTGCCCACTTTAAGCCCTATTTTCGGCAAATTCCAGTGTGCTAGTTGACAAAAATCATAACTATTTTGCTAGAACTCCATTTTTTCTATCGATTGAGTACAAGAGACCACCCATTTACCGATATCAACTATCCAATACAGTGGTCAGAATTTTGCAATTTTGCCAATTTCACACAAATTTCAAAAGATGCCAATTTCCAAATAGGGTCCAGAATAAACAAGAAAGACATTCCTGGCACTAAAATAACATTTCCTCTGTTCATTAGTCACATCCCCACGCCCCTCTGACATTCTTTTGCTTTCCACTTTGAATTTTTATTCTCACAAAAAATAGAAGATTTACTGTTATGCAGATTACTGCATTAGTGTAAAAATGGTATAAATAATATCAGCACACTTGTGAAAGAATATTAGACTCACCAGTTGACGTGTATTGGACGCTTAGTATGATTTGTTTACCTTTGAACTTTGATAAAAAATCGAACATTTCTGCTATTTTGAGCTCAATTTCAAGGTACTTTTCATTGTAAAATCAGTCAAAATCATCTCAATTTCTGTAATATGTCTTCCATTTTATAAAATGAGACCAGGAAAACTAGAATACAACAATAAATACCATATGAAAATACAGTGCAAAGTCGCTGTTTTAATCCAAAAACACAAAGTTTTTTTTCTCTCATTACGCACTGTGTGCTGCAGTATTTTTTTAATACTGCGCACACTGACCACATAGACCCATTCTTTCATATGTAGGCCTACCAGCTTTCTCTCACTAGATTTGAGGGCGACAGAATTTAGGCGTACTAGTACGTCAAAAACCCTGGTGTGTAAGCCGTACTAGTACGGCCGAAACCCTGAAAGGGTTAATAATAATTTAGGGAACTAGAGCATATATCAAGAACCCCTCACCAATATCAAGGAATCTTGATGCTGGTGAGGGGCTTCATTTCCCTAAATTATTATCAATAATAATGGTTATAATAATACAGTAATTATTACAATAATGATAGAGCTTCAGTTCCCTAAATTAATAATAATAATACATTATTATAATGACAAGAGCTTCAGAACGAAGCCAACTCAGTGCACTGTTTACCTAGCTGTGGAAGTAGTTCTCTCCTGATTTGCTTACATTTTTACAGTCAGTTGGCCAAATTTCGCTTTTCTAACCATGGGTCCAAAGAAAGTAAGTGTAAAGGACAGTGCTGATAAGAAAAAGAGGATGATTTCCATGGAATTAAAGCATGAAATCATAGATGAACATGAGAGGTGTCCAGGTTTTGGGTTGAGAGGGAAGTGGGGGGGGGGGAGAGCTGGCTCATATCTCAAAAAAACTCATATGTTGGGACACTTGTAAGTCAAGGTTCCACTGTATTTATATTAATTCTTACGGGAAATATTATTTCGGTTTTAGGCCAACTTTCTGGAATGGATTACGGCCGATAACCAAGGGTCCACTGAATTATTATATCTTAATATTATTATTATTAATATTAGTACATATGTATTATTGTAATAATAATTATTATTATTATTAATTTAAGGAACTGGAGCACAGCTCCAATTCTCTAGATCAAGAGCCCCTCACCAAGGAACCTCCCATGAGGGGGAATTTCGCATCCTGAAATTTTGTTAGTATCCAGATGCGAAAAATCGACCAAATGACTGTTCGTATCCTGGAAAATTCACATGGTGGGCTTTCGTAAGCCGAGGTTCCACTGTGTTACGATAAACTTTGCACACTGTGAGTGTAAAATAACTCATAAAAAAGTTTAATATCTTTATTATGCACTCCATACCCATCCTGTGGGCAGTAGGCAAAAAGATTACAAAGGTATAGAATGAGTCCAGGGATTGCACTGCAAAGCTTTGATAACTCAAGTTACAAAAGTAATGAACCATTCACACATCTATACCTGATTACAATTGCAGTTAGTTATTAATGCAAATATTAGCTTTATTTACAGTGAGCACAGTCAGAATGGTTTGTAATATACGTACCACTGTGGACAAAATACTGACATATCTTAAACACTTCTGAGTTAGTTGCTCTGAATTCATTAATTTTATTGCATTCCAGTACATAATGACACAAGGTGTGACAATAGTCCATCTGGCAAAGTTTACATTTCATTTGGTCTATATCTGGTGGTGATTTAACCTCCAAAAGATACTTGTAACCCAGCCAGAGCTGGGCAAGAGTGTTTATTTTGTTGGATGCACCATAGACATGTGGCTTCTCCTGCTTGATAGATGAACTGACTGGTGTCAGCCTTCCTGAGTCTTAAGTCAAAGTTCAGTTGAAGTTCTTTCAGTATTATTGTTTTCAAACTGCCAAGCCAAGATTGTAATCAGTTTATCATGCATCTGAAGACCATTGATTATAACAATAATTGCGAGATGGAATCCACAGGCGGTGCACTCATGACTCCACTGTCCACAAGCTTGCCACAATTTATACTTAAGAGTTTAGAGCATTTATAAATGATAGAGAATCAGTTACAATTAGTCAACCTTCGATACGTGGACACAAGCATCTGTAATGATGCAGGCCTTTAGAGTATAGTATTTTTGGAAATTTGCAATTACACGCAGCACTGTATGATCTTACTGGGTCTAGCACTTCTTTTTTCAGTATAATAATTTGTAGTTGCAGATCTATTATATAAAAGTTGTTTAATTAATCATAAAACAGTATATTAATCAAATAAAGCACTAAACCAACAAGGGTCCTGCAGCTTATAAAACAGTATAAAATTTTAATATGAAGTGCTGCCCTAGCATACAGTATTTCATCATAATAGAATTTTTTAATGTAAATTACATTTTTTAGCTGTTTACCTGGAGAGAGTTCCGGGGGTCAACGCCCCCGCGGCCCGGTCTGTGACCAGGCCTCCTGGTGGATCAGAGCCTGATCAACCAGGTTGTTACTGCTGGCTGCACGCAAACCAACGTACGAGCCACAGCCCGGCTGATCAGGAACCGACTTTAGGTGCTTGTCCAGTGCCAGCTTGAAGACTGCCAGGGGTCTGTTGGTAATCCCCCTTATGTATGCTGGGAGGCAGCTGAACAGTCTCGGGCCCCTGACACTTATTGTATGGTCTCTTAACGTGCTAGTGACACCCCTGCTTTTCATTGGGGGGATGTTGCATCGTCTGCCAAGTCTTTTGCTTTCGTAGTGAGTGATTTTCGTGTGCAAGTTCGGTACTAGTCCCTCTAGGATTTTCCAGGTGTATATAATCATGTATCTCTCCCGCCTGCATTCCAGGGAATACAGGTTCAGGAACCTCAAGCGCTCCCAGTAATTGAGGTGTTTTATCTCCGTTATGCGCGCCGTGAAGGTTCTCTGTACATTTTCTAGGTCAGCAATTTCACCTGCCTTGAAAGGTTACATAATACCCAGTACTATTACAGTATTAAAATAGCAATTTATCTAATTTCGAATTTGTAATTTTAATTTAAATATTAAGCACAATAGTATATTAACATATGTAATCAGTCAGATGTAGGTAAATTCTTAATGTATCTGTTTGTAAAGGAATATTTAATAAATATGCTGATGTATCTCTTGCACAGGAGTGCCTTTAACCCAGTGAGATATAAGATGATATGCTATAGCTCCTGGTGGAGGAATAAATAATACCCCAGAGGGATTTCCACGAAGCCTTAAATAAGGGTTTGCATTGATTCTGTCTACAGCTGTGCTGATTTCATCTCGAGAAAACCAACGGGCATCTTGCAGTTCATTCTCGTCTATGGCCAGCTGAAAAGAGAAAATGTAAACAATGTAAGTTATTGTAATTGAAGTAAGCTGTATAAAGTTAGGGAAAGCTAGTAAAGATAATACAGTTTTGAACAATGCAGTTTTGATATATGGTTTACAAATTTAATAATATAAATTTTATTTAACTGCATTACGCATTGATATTGGACTGTTGCTATTTACCAGACAAGTACGATGCAAATACCAGTATCACTTGAGACTAAGCAGTGAGGCTGTGTAGTTTACAGTACCAGTACTTTAAAGTACCCCCTTTTATATGCATATGACTGTTTACATTAGGCGAAAAACTAGAAATTATAAAGCATGAGGATGATGCAAGGGCTTAAATCCTATTAAAAAAAAAAAAAAAGTGTTCTTTCCTGTTATATGGCAGTCAAATAAGAAAGCCTGGGTAATGAAACAATTCTTCAAAGGTTTGGTTTGCAAAATTACTTTTGCTGTGCAGTTGCATGTTATTGCAAAGATAACATGGATTTTTTTTTAAATTTTGTTATTGGACAATGTGCCAGGTCATCCTACTTCTCCTTCAGATTTGAATGAAAATGTCAATATAATTTTCCTGCCACCAAACACGACACTATTGCAGCCAATGGATCATGGCGTCATTGCTACATTTAAGACATACCTTTGTGCAAGCCATAAAAATAACAATGGGAGAAAATATTGGTTGACCATTACTAATCTGGCATCATCGGGACCTATAGGGTGCTGGATTACAGAGTGGTTAGGTTAGAATACACTTAACACAGTGGCATTATTTACACAGGCAATTTCACCCACTTTAGACCCTATTTTTGGTCCAATTCCATTGTTTCAGCCTACCAAACACACAGCTATTTTGATAGTATTCCTTTTATTCTGTCAACTGAGTACAAGAAACTGCCCATTTACCCATTTCAACTACCCAATAAAGTAATCAGGAATTGGTAATTTGGCCAATTTCAAAATAGGGTCCAGAATAATGCAGACATTCCTGGCACTAATATGACATTTTCTCTGTTCATTAGTCATCTCCAGGTCCTTCTTACATTACATTTGCTTTCCATTTTGAATTTTTTATTCACACAAGAAATAGATGATTTACTGTTATGCAGACTACTGCATTATTGTAATAATTGTATAAATAATGCCACCCATGACTGTGTCATCACTTGAACGTCTGCAAAAATCGAACATTTCCATTACATTGAGCTCAATTTTAAGGTATTTTCCAGCATGTCCCCCCCCCAGGCGCTGTATAATCCTCCGGGTTTAGCGCTTCCCCCTTGATTATAATAATAATAATAATCCAGCATGAAACCAATCAAAATTATATCTGTTTCCAAAATGTATCTTCCATTCTATCAAAATGGACCAAAAAACAAGAATACAAACCAACGCAAAAGTCGCTGTTTTACATCAAAAGCACGGTTGCCATTTTTTCTCATGCACTGCGTGCTGCAGGATTTTTTTTATATAGTGTACACTTACCACACAGACCTATTCTCTCATATGTAGGCTCGAATTTACCGGTCACAGCTTATCTGAGCTCATGGCGACTGACAGTGGCTTCATGGCCATCTTAACTTTTATGTATGTCCTTTATACAATGAGAAGCATTTCATTTATTCGTTAGAACCATGGCTAGGGCTAAAAGTTATAACAATAAATGGAGAAAAATTGGAATGACTTCTGCAGCAAGTAGCACCACCAAACAGTAGTGGCTGGTTGGTGAGGCAACCCCAGAAATTTTAAATTATGTTAGCAGAAATTAGTGCCAGATTACTGATGGCCAACCTATACCATAAGTTTAAGCAAAGATTGGAAAGTTACAATATCCAAAATACGAGTGAATCACGGCTCTAAGTAACTGCAAGCAACACTAGAACTGTTTGGCAATTTCTTTTACCGCATTTTTCCAAAAATTTTGTCAGTTCTGAATCACATATTGAAACTGTGACAGCATTGTGTAGCTTGGGAAGAATCACCTTAGAAGCTTTGGATTTTGAAAATGTGCGTCAAAGCATTGATGCACACGTTAGTACTGAAAAAACAAGAAGAAAATGTTGCACCCATGAAAGAATTCATGTTGGATGAATTTTTTTTTTTATCACACTGGCCGATTCCCACCAAGGCAGGGTGGCCTGAAAAAGAAAAACTTTCACTATCATTCACTCCATCACTGTCTTGCCAGAAGGGTGCTTTACACTACAGTTTTTAAACTGCAACATTAACACCCCTCCTTCAGAGTGCAGGCACTGTACTTCCCATCTCCAGGACTCAAGTCCGGCCTGCCGGTTTCCCTGAACCCCTTCATAAATGTTACTTTGCTCACACTCCAACAGCACGTCAAGTATTAAAAACCATTTGTCTCCATTCACTCCTACCAAACACGCTCACGCATGCCTGCTGGAAGTCCAAGCCCCTCGCACACAAAACCTCCTTTACCCCCTCCCTCCAACCTTTCCTAGGCCGACCCCTACCCCGCCTTCCTTCCACTACAGACTGATACACTCTTGAAGTCACTGTTTCTCTCTACATGTCCGAACCACCTCAACAGCCCTTCCTCAGCCCTCTGGACAACAGTTTTGGTAATCCCGCACCTCCTCCTAACTTCCAAATTACAAATTCTCTGCATTATATTCACACCACACATTGCCCTCAGATATGACATCTCCACTGCCTCCAGCCTTCTCCTCGCTGCAACATTCATCACCCATGCTTCACACCCATATAAGAGCGTTGGTAAAACTATACTCTCATACATTCCCCTCTTTGCCTCCAAGGACAAAGTTCTTTGTCTCCACAGACTCCTAAGTGCACCACTCACCCTTTTCCCCTCATCAATTCTATGATTCACCTCATCTTTCATAGACCCATCCACTGACATGTCCATTCCCAAATATCTGAATACATTCACCTCCTCCATACTCTCTCCCTCCAATCTGATATCCAATCTTTCATCACCTAATCTTTTTGTTATCCTCATAACCTTACTCTTTCCTGTATTCACTTTTAATTTTCTTCTTTTGCACACCCTACCAAATTCATCCACCAATCTCTGCAACTTCTCTTCAGAATCTCCCAAGAGCACAGTGTCATCAGCAAAGAGCAACTGTGACAACTCCCACTTTATGTGTGATTCTTTATCTTTTAACTCCACGCCTCTTGCCAAGACCCTTGCATTTACTTCTCTTACAACCCCATCTATAAATATATTAAACAACCACGGTGACATCACACATCCTTGTCTAAGGCCTACTTTTACTGGGAAATAATTTCCCTCTTTCCTACATACTCTAACTTGAGCCTCACTATCCTCGTAAAAACTCTTCACTGCTTTCAGTAACCTACCTCCTACACCATACACCTGCAACATCTGCCACACTGCCCCCCTATCCACCCTGTCATACGCCTTTTCCAAATCCATAAATGCCACAAAGACCTCTTTAGCCTTATCTAAATACTGTTCACTTATATGTTTCACTGTAAACACCTGGTCCACACACCCCCTACCTTTCCTAAAGCCTCCTTGTTCATCTGCTATCCTATTCTCCACCTTACTTTTAATTCTTTCAATAATAACTCTACCATACACTTTACCAGGTATACTCAACAGACTTATCCCCCTATAATTTTTGCACTCTCTTTTGTCCCCTTTGCCTTTATACAAAGGAACTATGCATGCTCTCTGCCAATCCCTAGGTACCTTACCCTCTTCCATACATTTATTAAATAATTGCACCAACCACTCCAAAACTATATCCCCACCTGCTTTTAACATTTCTATCTTTATCCCATCAATCCCGGCTGCCTTACCCCCTTTCATTTTACCTACTGCCTCACGAACTTGCAAAAGTAGAAGATGCTTGGGACTTCAAAATGAACATGGATCCAAAAACTGAATGAGGCATTATAAATCCCTTCACTAAATATTACCCTGCTCACACTCCAATAGCTTGTCAGGTCCAAAAACTATTTGTCTCCACTCACTCCTATCTAACATGCTCACACACACTCTCTGGAAGTCCAAGCCCCTTGCCCACAAAACCTTCTTTACCCCCCCCCCCAACCTTTTCAAGGATGCCCCCTACCCTTCCTTCCCCTACAGATTTATATGCTCTCCAAGTCATTCTACTTTGATCCATTCTCAATAAATGACCCAACCACCTTAACAACCCCTCTTCAGCCCTCTGATTAATACTTTTAGTAATTCCACACCTCCTAATTTCCACACTCCGAATTCTCTGCATAATATTTACACCACACATTGCCCTTAGACAGGACATCTCCACTGCCTCCAGCCACCTCCTCGGCGCAGCATTTACAACCCAAGCTTCACACTCGCATGAGTGTTGGTACCACTATACTTTCATACATTCCCTTCTTTGCCTCCACAGATACTTCAATGCACCACATGCCTTTTTTCCTTCATCAATTCTATGGTTAACCTCATCCTTCATAAACCCATCCGCTGACAAGTCAACTCCCAAATATCTGAAAACATTCACTTCTTTCATATTCCCTCTCTCCAATGTGATATCCAATTTTTCTTTATCTAAACTGTTTGATACCCTATGTTCACTTTCAACCTTCTACCTTTACACACCATCCCAAACTCGTCCACTAACCTTTGCAACTTTTCTTTAGAATCACCCATAAGCACAGTATCATCAGCAAAAAAGTAACTGTGTCAACTCCCATTTTGTATTTGATTCCCCATAATTTAATCCCACCCCTCTCCCCAACACCCTAGCATTTACTTCTTTTACAACCCCATCTATAAATATATTAAACAACCACAGTGACATTACACATCTCTGTCTAAGACCTACTTTTACTGGGAAGTAATCTCCCTCTCTTCTATACACCCTAACCTGAACCTCGCTATCCTCATAAAAACTCTTTACAGCATTTAGTAACTTACTACTTATTCCATACACTTGCAACTCCTGCCACATTGCTCCCCTATCCACTCTATCATATGCCTTTTCTAAATCCATAAATGCAATGAAAACTTCCCTACCTTTATCTAAATACTGTTCACATATATGCTTCAATGTAAACACTTGATCTACACATCCCCTACCCACTCTAAAGCCTCCTTGCTCATCTGCAATCCTACTCAGTCTTACCTCTAATTCTTTCAATAATAACCCTACCATACACATAAAGATATATGTGCTGATAAAAAACTGTGTAAACTACGTTATTCAACTATTTTTCAAAATAAAATTATTTTTTTTTTTTTGCCCTATGTATGGTATATTGTTTATTTACAACTGTAATAAAAATCTTTAGTACTACTATTTTTTCGTTATCTTTTGTAATTTCTTTATTTGCAAGTGTGTGCAAGAGTTTCAAGTGCATTGATTTGTACTAAGCAAACGGATAAATATTTTTTGTGATCTGATGCATTTATTTATATTGTTGGAACAATTACATTAAAACACATAATACCTTGATCAGTACAGTACTGCATAGTATGGTATTTTTTTGACACACATTAACTGTACTGTGCAAGGTATTTCTGTATAGGTTTATGGGAACATCACACAAGACAAAAATTTATGTGAATAAAATTCAAGGCTTAATTACAAAGATTGAAGAAAAGTGTGACTATTAGGATCTGAAGAAAGCCTTGATGTGACGATACTGAAAGTTATAACCCAATAATGTAAGTTCAAAAGTGGAGGTAACGTGTTATGGTTATGTCCAGGTGCTGGAATGCAAGATTTTGCAGTGTATGGGGTAATAGTGTCTGTTGTTTACTGTCTTTTGGAGGAACATATTTTGTGTAGGAGTCTGTAGTCTTCCCAGCTGATGTGGTGGCTTTATCATAAATGTTGGAATATGGCTAAGTTATCCTATACATATCTGACTGCTCTATTATGTTTAGTTATTCTTGTATTTAGGTCTTGCCCCATTTATTCTGCCTGTATGGTTTTTCATGGACATGAAATACCATGCAAACAATGTAATGTTTATTACACTAGACAAACAGGGTGAAACCTTAACACCAGAAATTCTGAGACTAAAAAAGCAAACAGGTGTGCCCAGGACAATTCTGCTACATTCATGGGGGAGCTCTATATCCATTGGGGTCATTCAGCACCTGGGAGAATGGAAATTATTCAGAAAATTTGTCCATAATGTAGAGCTAAGACACCACATCAAATGGGAAGATTTTTAATTCCTATATAAAATACCACATTCTTATCAAAGCCACACTTTTATAAACCCACTATATATGGGAACCACACACTGTTACCACATGTGCCACAAAATCCTGCAGCTCAGCATTCTATCTACACAGTGGCAATAAATGATCTCCCAATACTACAATTAATAATTGTATTTAAATAAAAAATAGTATTTTTCTTACATTTTTAAGAACAAAAATAAAGGTAGGAGCAATGTAAACAAGGCTGACAGCAGCAGCCCAGCCTCACACATGTAGTGTTAACTTACCACAAAATATGAGTTTAACCACCAAATGGGAGGGAAGTAAAGAATATGCAAATATTGGTCAAGTCCCTCTTGCATACAGATGGCCAGAATCAGATTCTTGAGGTGACAAGCAATTTGTATATAAATGCAACAGGATATAAAAACATTGCATTTGTTGACTGCTATACAGGAAATAACTAATTTTGTCCCATCTGTTCGCTTTCTTTGATTATAATAATAATAATAATTGTCCCATCTGTTAGACCTGTGACTCATGGAGATTAATTTTAACTTAATGGTGGCCATCTCCCACCAAAGCAAGTTTCCTTATAGGATATGGAAACAATGCATGTGTTTACTGCTGATACTGAGAAAACACAATTCACTTCCATTTGTGAGGACTGTAAATATACCCTGTTTTATACTAGGGATATGCAAAAATGATTATTATTTAAACAAAACTATTCCCCTTGCCCTCTCCCACCTTATAGCTGGCAACACAGGGTACTCCTACGTGCAAAACTTACATAATTATCATACCTCTTGTTTTTCTGCAACTGCAAAGCATCCTGCCATCAGAGATCCTGGAAAGGGCCAGTGCTGGGATGCAACATATCTTACAGATGATACTTCTATTCCTACTTCTTCTGCCACTTCTCTGTGCACTGTATCTTCCAAACTCTCACCTGGAAAATTTATTTTAATCAGTAGATCATACAGCTCACCTGGAAGAGTAGCGTTAATTGGTAACAAAAGTAAACTGAGCCACCCACACAAGGGATGAATTAACAATGAAAAAGAAAAAGAGGAAAAAAAGTTTTAGATGTTCAATATATTGCAATGTCAAATAAAAAATAACTATTATCATATTATTCCTACAGCTTATAAAAAATATACAGTAGTATCAGTATATCAAAAGTCAACTTACCAACATCTGAGAAGCCTGCAATACAGGAATACATGCCCGGAGGTTGACGAGGCTGCCTTACAAGAACAATATTTTGGTGACTTGGATCTGTAACGAGGACAATGCCTACTGGGATGGCACTTGGGTAGTGAGTCATGTTGCAGCTACTGCATCTGCGTAAGTGACCTGGCAAGACAATAAAAAACAAGCATAATTTATAATAGTTATAATACAGTACTCTATTTGAACTTCTAAATTAATTGATTATAAAGTATTACAATGGATTTAAATTTAAACACAAGACTGAGAAATAAATATATTTTTTTTTTTTAGTTTTCTTAAAGACCTAAACCAACTGCTTAGTGTAATATACAGTAGGGCCCCACTTGTACGGCAGGTTAGGCTCCAGGCTATTACCGGAAAGCAGAACGCCATTTTTTCCACTTATAAATGCCAGATAACAAGTTTACACTAACATATATATATTAAGTTAGCAATAGAACTAGGCATTAAAAACAATAAAAAGTAAAATACACACACAGTACACCCATTTCTTACCTTAAAATATTTGTAGTCCTAATGTAGGGTGAGAGGTGAGTATTATTTGCAGGAAGTCAGGTTTAGGGGGTATGATAGCCATCCAACCCACCTCACCCCACCCACATGTAATATGCTATGACATTTAATTGAAGCGCCCCAGAGCGATAAAATACATATACAGTACATTCATTAATTACCTTAAAATATTTGTAGTCTTAATGTAGGGTGAGAGGCAAGTTTTATTTGTAGGAAGTTAGGTGGTAGCCAGCCAAGGCAGCGCTCAACACGTAAACAAACCAGGCGAATGCATCTGGTTTTCGTCACTTTACATTGTCTACAAGTTGTCTTCAAATAAATAAAGAGAAACACTCCCATTCTCCTGTAACACCATTTTTAGAAGAAATGACGCCCTGAGTGAAGGCATATGAAAGGGATAATTTTCTAGTTACCCCCAGTAATATTATAGTGAAACTCTTAGTGATTTTAATAAGTACCTGCATGCCAGTGCAGTGTGTAAATATATTTAGGTACAGGTACACTTAAGTATAATTATCAGAGTACATATAAAATATGTAATAACTTTAAAACACTTGAAATTTTGGAAAGTTTCCAGACAAAATAGAGAGATGTGCTCATGGAGAATGTCAACAAACCGGGTGGGGCGTGCCATGTTTGAAAGACCGCTTGTCATATAGCAAATTTTGGTCATAATTTGAAATCGCCATATTAGCGAAATGCCATAAAGCGGGGCCCTACTGTATATATAAAATACTCAACTTCACAATGCTTGAAACTTTGGAAAGTTTCCAGACATAATCAGGAGACACAGATTTGTAGTCCTGTGTTTCTTGACGAGGAATGTACATACATTCACCAAACCTTCATTGATTTACATTTTCCTTCGTTTTTCATCAAAGACTACAAGAGAAGAGCTCTTCAGATCATTAATTCTCCATGCACCAACACCACTCCTAACAAAGTTATAATTCTTCCCAATAGCCAGGTTGCACTGAACATTTCTAAAGTACTAGCACAAGCTAACACTAGAGTTGCCATCACTTCCAGCACTTCAATAAAGGATCTAACCAGGACAAAATCCAAGCACCATGAACCAGTCAATGCAGGGGGTTCCACTACACCCTGTGGAAGCTGTGACAGGATTTACATAGGTGAAACAGCAAGAAACCTCAAAACACACCTCAATGAAAACAATGCATGTAAGAACGATAACATGAACAACACCTGCATACAACACTGAAATTCCACCAATCACCTCATGAAATTCAGGGATGCCTAATTAGTGATCAAAGAAACTAATTTCTATAGACACAAATATCTTGAATCAGCATTAATCGCTGTTTCTAACACAATTAAACAAAACAAAGGCAGCTTCATCATCTCTGAAGTCTTAGCGAGAATCCTCCTCAAAACAGTAAACCCTGCCATCACATAGTCTCTCCTGCTAATACTACACAAGCACATTACAGAGGAGGAACACCGAAACAGACCTTCTTTTATCCAACCTCCAGCAGAAATATTTGTCTACCCTATTTTTATGCTACCCAAGTAATAGCTTTTATAACCTTTTACTCATGTGCAAGTTGATTGTTCTACCATATTGTATTACTACTACTGCTACAACTAATATTATTACTACTACTACCACTAGTATTACACCTCACTCTAAGCCTATATACACCCTCTGTATCTGTGTATTGTTTGTAACGGCTTGATAAAGCTCCTGGAGAGCAAAACGTTGCCACAATAAAATGTCACATTAGTTGCATTTGTGTCCTTTTACTTAACAGGATATAAACAAACTGAGAGTAAATGGGTGGCATGTGGATGGTGTAATAGTGAATTAGGAGCCATATAAACAAATTTTGGGGTAAAATTTGAAATGTCCATATTAGTTAAGTGCCATATAAAGCAGGGCCTTCCTGCATTATTCACTAATATGCGTCATTGTAAACACTTTGTCTATACTTTCCTTACCAATTTTTCCTTGCTCCTCTGCAAGCTTATTCTGTCTTATCCCTAACTCTTCCAAAATTAATTATCTTGTAAACATTACCCACTATACTCATCAGGCTTATTCCTCTATAATTCTTACACTCTTGTACCCCCTTTTTTTTAACATTCCCACCAGGGTAGGGTGACCCAACAAAGAAGAAAACATTTTCACTGTCACTCATTCAATCACCGTCTTGCCAGAAGGGCGCCGTTATCACAATTCAGATAACCCTCTAAACAGCAACATCCGCACCCCTCCTTAAGAGTGCAGGCACTGTACTTTTCACTTCCAGTACTTAAGTCTGGCTAACCACTTTCCCTGATTTGACAGCACAACAAATCGTAAGAACCACTTACCTCCACTCATTCCTATCTAACATGCTCACACAAATCTATTGGATGTTGAACAGGCTTTACCCCTCCCTCCAACCTTTCCTAGGATGACCCTTATTCCTCCTTCCCTCTGTCCTAGATTTATACACTCTCCTAGTCATCCTATTTTTCTCCATCCTCTCTTAAATGTTCAAACCACCCCAACAATCCCTCCTCACCCTTTCGAATAATACTTCCGGTTACCCCCATGCCTTCAAATCTGAATTCTCTACATAATATTCATACCACACATTGCCCTCAAACATGACATCTCTATTGCCTCCAACCTCCTCACTGCAAGATTCAAAACCCATGCTTCACACCCATACAACAGTGTTGGTACCACTATACTTTAATACATTCCACTTCTGCCTCCACTGATAAAGTTCTTTGTCTCCACAGATGCCTCAATGCACCACCCACCTTATTCCCTTCGTCATTTCTATGGTTCACCATGTCTTTCATAGAACCATCTGCCAACAAGTCCACTCCCAAATATCTGAACAAATTTACTTCTGCCATACACCCTCAAATTTACAATATAGTCTTTTCATTACCTCTATTTTCCAATACTTTCATCACCTTGCTTATTCCTATGTTTACATTTTCTTTTACATCCCTTTCCAAATTTGTTTACCAACCTTTGCAATTTCTCTTTTGAATCTCCCAAAAGAACTGTGTTATTGGCAAAAAGCAAATGTAACAACTCCCACTGTGTACCAGATTCACTATCTTTCAATCCCACACCTTTCCCTAATACCCTACCATTCACTTCTTTTACAAAACATTTATAAATATGTTAAATAACAAATGTGACATCACACATCCCTGCCTATGGGCTACTTTTACTGGAAAATAATCTCCTCTTTCCCATAATTCTAACCTGCACCTTGCTATCCACAGAAAAAGCTCTTTAATGCTTTAAATAACCTACTATCTGCCACACTGCTTCCCTATCCACCCTATTATATGCCTTATCTAAATCCAGGAATGCAATGAAAAATTCCTGACCTTTAAGTATTATTCACTTATGTGCTACAATGTAAATACTTGGTCTATATATCCCTACCATTCCTAAAACCTCCTTGTTCCTCTGGAATTTTACTCTCTGTCTTACCCTTAATTCTTTCAATATTAACTCTATAATATGCTTCACCTAGTACATTCAACATTTTTTTTTTTTAACAAGTCAGCCGTCTCCCACCGAGGCAGGGTGACCCAAAAAGAAAGAAAATCCCCAAAAAGAAAATACTTTCATCATTCAACTCTTTCACCTCACTCACACATAATCACTTTTTTGCAGAGGTGCTCAGAACACAACAGCTTAGAAGCATATACGTATAAAGATACACATATCCCTCCAAACTACCAATATCCCGAACCCCTCCTTTAGAGTGCAGGCATTGTACTTCCCATTTCCAGGACTCAAGTCTGGCTATATAAAAATAACCGGTTTCCCTGAATCCCTTCACTAAATATTACCCTGCTCACACTCCAATAGATCGTCAGGTCCCAAATACCATTCGTTTCCATTCACTCCTATCAAACACGCTCACGCACGCCTGCTGGAAGTCATGTTTATTTTCCAATAATTCTTACACTCCTTTATCTCCTTTTCCCATAAACAAAGAAATTATGCATGCTCTGCCAATTCTAGGTACCTTCCTCCCTTTCATACATATACTGAACAAATGCACCAACCACTCCAAAACTATCCCGACCTGCTTTTAACATTTCTGTCTTAATCCCATCTACCCCAGCTGCTTTACCCCCCTTCCATTCTACCCACTGCCTCATGCACCTCCCCAGATTCACATTTGGTTCTTCCTCACTCCAATAATGTGTTATACCTTACTGCCCAATACAAGAAATTACTACTTCTCTTCATCAACATTCAACAATTCCTCAAAATATTCCTTCTATCTTCCCATTATCTCCACCTCCCCATCTAATTCCAAGAATTTCAAAGACACTTAACAAAAACAAACCACATTTACTAACCTGCAGCATTTCTTTCAGTTGGGGACCCACACTTTCCACAAAATGCATTATTTCTATTCCACAAGAGAACACTGTTTGCCCGAGAGAGTGTATGAGCATCCCTCCAACTGACCATAAAGAGAGCAAGCCGTAAATCAGTGAATGTGGCACCGGTTATGGTTTCTAGCTTATCCTGAGTAGTTGTTGGTAGTGCTCCAACCTGTAGAAAATATAATTTAGTTTTATTCAATATGTACATTCCAAATACGTAAATTAAATTGATCTACGTACTTGCATTTCACAAATATCTCACACTTGAAAGGAAACTTTCACTGATGTTTCAGTCTTGAACCATTATTGAATTACAACTATGTGACATGATATTGGTCAAGAATAGATCAAAATATCGTCTAAAAAAGTTTCTTTCCAAAGTGTAGCTTATTTGTGACTTATACAATTGTTTTATACATCTCATTTCATTTCTCTCTTGTTTACAATAAACCTCACAATGTGCAGGTACAGTATACATCCCTAATAATTGGTGCATACTTTACTGTAAAGTAAAATTAAGTAAAGTAACAAAGATACGGAAAAAATAGAGTTATGTAATGTTATTTTGCTCTCTAATTTTTTTTTAAATTGTTTTAGGTATAAATTACTATACAATAATTTACCTTGCATTCTCGCAGTACTTCTTGAAATGGAAGGGTGGAAAAGTTGATGTAGGCCAAATGGGCTGAAGTGGGTGGCTGTGGCTGTGGTTCTTGTACTGATATGTTGCAGCACTGTATGACCCTCATGGGTTTAGTGTTTGGTTATGATTATAATAATTGCATTGATGTGGAAGTAGAATTGTCAGGAGTTGACAGCTCACTTGCAGTGCTCAAGTGCTCCATAATGTATCTCTGTACTTTATAGACCCCACCAGAAAATCTTTGTTGTGGAGACAAATGCACTTTTATAAAGTTCAAACCCTCAGCACTAAATATATGCCATGATGACTTTCCCTCCTTCTTAAACACAGTTTGAAAGTATGATATGTCTGTGTGCTTTATTATCTGTGCACTACATGGGGCCCTTTTTTCCTTCTTTACTCATTCCACAAGTTTAGTAACTTTTCCATCTTATTTAGCTGTAGTGACCTCTTTGGTAGTCTTTTGAACAAGTGGCAATATGTATTATATAAGGCACAAGCCCTTATTTTTTGTCACTGTTTGCAATTGTGCAGATGGTTGGTTCATTCACGCAAAATACACGAGCACTTTCCATCACATGTGCACCACCTCTATGCATATCAAACACTTACATTTTCTTCAACAAAATCATATAGTCACAATTATTCTTAATACTTCAAGCATCAATATTAACCCTTTTGGATGCCATGGGATGAATAAAAATATCCAAAATAGCTTCATAAACATGGAGTGAGGCACAAAACACTTCTAGGATTCAGGTGTAGGTGGAGTGGACTGTCAGTGGTAGAGGAGTTACCACTGTGTGTAGTACCTAAATTCTGCACTTAACATAATTCGTGGTATGTACAGTGGACCCTCGGTTATTGGACATAATCTGTCCAAGAAGCTCGGTTGAAAACTGAAATAATATTTCCCATAAGCATTAATGTAAATAGAGTTAATCCGTTCCAGACAAAAATATTCACAAAAAAATATTTTTTTTTAACAATTAAATCAGCAATACATATCTTTATTGAAGGCTAATGCTGGCTTCTGGAATGACTGCTACACTTCCTGCATGAATGCTACACTTCCTGCATGCCTGCTACACTTCTTGAATGTCTGCTACACTCCCTGCATGCCTGCTACACTCCCTGCATGCCTGTTACACTCCCTGCATGCCTGCTACACTTCCTGAATGTCTGCTACACTCCCTGCATGCCTGCTACACTCCCTGCATGCCTGTTACACTTCCTGAATGTCTGCTACACTCCCTGCATGCCTGCTACACTCCCTGCATGCCTGTTACACTTCCTGAATGTCTGCTACACTCCCTGCATGCCTGCTACACTCCCTGCATGCCTGTTACACTCCCTGCATGCCTGCTACACTTCCTGCATGCCTGCTACACTTCTTGAATGTCTGCTACACTCCCTGCATGCCTGCTACACTCCCTGCATGCCTCTTACACTCCCTGCATGCCTGCTACACTTCCTGAATGTCTGCTACACTCCCTGCATGCCTGCTACACTCCCTGCATGCCTGTTACACTTCCTGAATGTCTGCTACACTCTCTGTATGCCTGCTACACTCCCTGCATGCCTTCTACACTTCCTGCATGTCTGCTACACTTCCTGCATGCCTGCTACACTTCCTGCATGTCTGCAATATTCCATGCATGCCTGTTATACTCCCTGCATGCCTGTTACATTCCTTGCATGCCTGCTACACTTCCTGCATGCCTGCTACACTTCCTGCATATCTGATACACTCCCTGCATGTCTGTTACACTTCCTGCATGCCTACTACACTCCCTGCATGCCTGTTACACTCCCTGCATGACTGCTACACCCCCTGCATGACTGCTACACTCCCTGCATGCCTGCTACACTCCCTGGATGCCTGTTACACTCTCTGCATGCCTGCTATACTCCCTGCATGCCTGCTACACTCCCTGCTTGCCTGCTACACTTCCTGCATGCCTGCTACAATTCACACTTAAATTCCATGGTGTTTCTCACTTTCTCTACCACAGGAAATTTACTAGGAACTTTCTTGGGAGCCATGGTTACTTATTTTGCAGTTGCACTACAAAAAAACAATGGAAAACAAGCGAAATGTTTGGATATACTATGAGCAGAAGCTTCCTCACGCACCGAGAGACAGCCAAACTGATGCACAAGCGACCCCAGCCGACGGACCAATGCGTCTGAAATGGCCGATCACCGAAATAACGGCCAATCACTGGGAGCCGAAAAAACGGCCGATCACCGAGTTGGCTGATAACAGGAACGGCCAATAACCGAGGGTCCACTGCAGTTTCAACATTTCACGTGTTAGCTGTTTCTTTCATGTATCATGGCACATGGTATTAAGATTTTCACATGCAATCAAAATTGTCTCATTGCATTTTCTGAATCACATTACATATATATTGTGCACCATTAAGTTACATTGTAAGAGAGCTTACTGTAGTGTCTCTTTGATACAGTATACAGTCGAACCCAGTAATTTACAGTGGTTAGGTTCCTGAGGGTGATGTGAATCCTAACGCTACAGATAATACTCTGAATTATTCAAGTGTTTTTACGGCATATATTGTTTAATTATTATTTAAATCTGCTTAATACTGATATTCATAAGAAAGAATTACCATATTTTGAATGAGAACTTAAGATTATTTTTCAATTTAGGAGTTGTGCACCATGCACAAAAAAAAAGAAAATAAATGGACAGCACAAAAAAAAATACAAGAATAATTGAAACTACTTGTCAAATGTCTATTAGTAAAACTGATGGAGAATTGAATCATTCAGGTTACAATGCACATGAACTCCTAAGTTCAGATGTAATGTTTATCTTGATTTTACATTCCTCTTATGGCAAGAAGAATCTTTTGAGTTAAATTAATAAATTATTTAACATTCAACTAAAATTTAGTAATTATGTTAATATTTAAAATAATTTCCACAGTAATTATAAATAGAAAATGTATGTGGTACCATTCACCTTGACTATTTACATGACAAATGTTTACCTGCACACTGTACCTCGGTGTTCCATCTTCAGCAACATCAAGAAGAATACTAGAGCTCAGAACTTGGGGATAATATTGGATCACCTCTGAAAAGATAAATTACTTTTTCATAACCTGATAAAGTTCAGTAATTACTGCATAGTCACATTTTCTATTGACCTCTTTGCACAGTATTCAGTATGTACTACATATCAAAATCTAGTTAAATAAAATAATGCTTCTCTCCCCATCATTCTTTCCTTTATCCTTCTCTTCCCTCTCCTCACTGTCCCTTTCACTTCTGGGGTGAAATATTAGCAGGTGCTACCTGGGGTAGAGATGGCAACAGGAAGATTTCCTTGCTACCTTGGGACTTACAAACCCAGAAAAACTATTTTTGTTCTATTTACAAAAAACCCAATGAAAAATCCCAATACTGCAGAAACATAAATACATAACAGTAATACTGCAATAATCACCTGGATAAGTTAACCACACAAGTGCATCTTCAGTGTTGGCTTTGTCTATGCGTAGTAGAGGTTTGCTCTGACTGTACAGCAGGAACTTCCCACCAGGTATATGGGATGCACACACAGAATCTTGCTCTTTTAGATACTGTAAAACCGTAAGAATCTTTTATATAATTTCTGATTAAAAATATCTAAAGGAAATATAAGTAATGATTAAATTTGATTGGAATTTTAACTTCCTTGAACTATTTTTTGCCTTGCTATCTGGTATACCATATTATTGATGCAAAAACAAGGGCTCTTGGTCCAAGAATTGGAGTTACCTTTTCCTTCCTGGGATCAAACCTGATTAACCCCCACTCCTCCCATTCCCAAAGCACTGTATGACCCTTACAGGTTTAGTGCACTCCATCATAACAGTAATAATACAATAGTTTATTAACAACTGCACTGCCTCTCATCATCTGTTCATTTTTTATTTATATTCATACAGAAGTATTATACTGTACTGAAAGATCCATGTAGTGCCTGAGGGGTAATCAGGTTTGAACCCCTCAAGGGAGATTACTTGACATTGGTGAGAGGCTCTTGATCTAGGGAATTGGATCTGTGCAATTATAATAATAATAATTGGGTTTGATCCAAGGAAGGGTATACTAGTTACAATTCATTGGGTCATCCATTCACTGCCTCCAGGTTATATTTGCCTAGTTATGTGACATACACAAGCATGACCAGAAAACACATTTTTTACACTTTGCAGTTTTTGCACATGCATTTTATTTACAGTATTATCTTTATCTACCTTTACTAAACACTAAGAAGCCATTGTGGTCCAAATATTTGGGGGTATACCTGCAGGGGGTTTTGGGGGTCAATGCCCCCTTTGCCAGGTCCATGACCAGGCCTAGAAGTCGATCAGGGCCTGATCAACAAGGATGTTACTGCTGGAGGTATGCAAACCAATGTATGAACCACAGCCTGGCTGGTCAGGTACCGACTTTAGGTGCCTGTCCAGCTCCCTCTTGGAGATAGCCAGGGGTCTATTGGTAATTCCCCTTATGTATGCTGGGAGGCAGCTGAACAATCTTGGGCCCCTGACACTTATTTTGTCTCTTAGTGTACTCTTGGTACCCCTGCTTTTCACTGAGAGAATGTTGTATCACCTGCTGAGTCTTTTGCTTTCATAGGGAGTGATTTTCATGCGGAGATTTGGGACTAGTCCCTCTAGCATTTTCCAAGTGTGTATATTGTCAAGTATCTTTCTTGCCTATGTTCCAAGGAGTACAGGTCAAGGGACTTCAACCATTCCCAGTAATTTAGGTGCTTCATTGTACTTACACATGCAGTGAAAGTTATCTGTATATTCTCTAGGTCTGCAATTTCATCTGTTTTGGCTCTTAGTGTACAGCAGTATTCCAGCCTAGAGAGAACAAGCAATTTGAAGAGAATGATCATTGGTCTGGCATCCCTAGTTTTGAAGGTTCTCATTATCCTTTTGAAGGTTCTCATTATCCTATCATTTTCCTAGGAGATGTGGTAGAAACATTGTTGTGATCTTTGACAGTGAGATTCTCTTAACATTATCACTCCCAGGTCCTTCATATTTGTGTTTCCCTTTAGTGTGTGGTTGGAATTTGTTACGTATTCTGATCCAGTTTTTATCAAATAAGTAAATTTATTTAGGTAGAGGTACACATAAGTACAATTATCATACATGCACTCTGCCCCAGGGCCAGACTCATGGAACTCTGTGTTCATCAAGAACTGCAAGAAGCCCCTATCACGAGCCTTTTCCATCCTATGGAGAGGGAGCATGGACACGGGGGTTGTCCCTCTGTTACTAAAAACAACAGACATAGCCCCACTCCACAAAGGGGGCAGTAAAGCAACAGCAAAGAACTACAGACCAATAGCACTAACATCCCATATCATAAAAATCTTTGAAAGGGTCCTAAGAAGCAAGATCACCACCCATCTAGAAACCCATCAGTTACACAACCCAGGGCAACATGGGTTTAGAACAGGTCGCTCCTGTCTGTCTCAACTACTGGATCACTACGACAAGGTCCTAAATGCACTAGAAGACAAAAAGAATGCAGATGTAATATATACAGACTTT